TCCTCCGGTTAACACATCTTATTTTGCTTTGTTGAGACTTGTTTTGTTTTTTGTTTTTTAGTGCTGGAAATTGAAACCAGAGCCTTGCACAGCCTAAGCAATCTCTACCCCCAAAACCATAGCATCAGCCCTCTTTCCTTTTAAGACAAGATGCTCAGGTTAGCCTTGAATTTGTCACCATCTCAGCCTCCTGGAGTAGTTGGGATTGCAGGACTTCACCTCTAGGCCTGGCTCAAACACGTTTTTAATAGCAAAACTAAATGGGTGTGTGTGTGTGTGTGAGAGAGAGAGAGAGAGAGAGAGAGAGAGAGAGAGAGAGAGAGAGAGAGAGAGAGAGAGAGGGAGGGAGGGAGGGAGGGAGAGACACAGACAGAGAGAGACAGAGACAGAGAGAGAGACAGAGAGAGCGAGCCCCAGTCCCTTCTGGCCTGCACTCAGCTGTCGCTCCCAGGATCTATGGAAACCTGTTTGTATCTCTTGTCTCACCTCACCTTTTCTGGTCCTAGCATCTTTACACAATCAGTTTCTTCCACCTGGAATGTTCCCTGTGGTCAGAATCCCATCCAGCCTTCAGAGTCCTCAGTGAACACCTTTGCTCCAGCCTGCTTTCCCCTTGCTGCATTCTTAGTCTCAATACCCTTGGGGCCTCCTGGAGACCAATATCTGGTCAGACCAGTAACTTCCTCTGCAGTGAATATTAAATGCTATCACCGAGGTTGAGTTGAACTGACTAACTTAGCAGAGGAGCCCTGCAGAGAGCTGGTAAGAGAACCCCAGTGAGATTGACTGACTCTTCTCCTTGCAGTTAGAGGTTTGGTGTCCTTCCTCCGAGAAGGTAGGAAATATTACCAGCCTGAGCCAAAGGAGGTGATGTTTCCGGGCCAAACCATTGCTGCCTGTAGGCTTGGATTCCATAGAACTGTCTGGCAACATCAAGAGGATGGGTGATGGAGGCTTCTATCTCAGGCAGTGGGTCACTGATCAACTGTCCCAGGATTGAGGAGTCTCTCAGAATGTGGACCCACCAGGGTAAATAGTGGAGAAACCAGAAATGTTATACATGTGGTTTTGAGGCCCCAGGCTGATGCCACACAGGAGACATAGCTGCTGAAGTTTGGCCTTTGTGGGCTGGGGTAACCCCGAGTTTAGGTCCTGAGACCAACAACATCTTAGACCAGCATAGGAACATTAGGAGATGGGAGTCTCCTTAGGTCCCCAAAGCTCTTGTTCTCCCTTCCTATCCTAAGGTCCCTCCATTCTTTAGACTCCTCCTGCCCTGGCCTTGCACCTATAGATAGCCCAGGTAACTTGGTCTTTTCCTACTGCTAGACCCCACCCTTGATGTTTTGTTTTAGAGAAGAGTAGGAGCTTGAGACAGGGCCTCTGTGTGGTCCAGTCTGGCCTCACACCTGGCCTTCATGCCTTAGCCTCCCAAGTACTAGAACTACAGGCACTAACTCCCAAGTACTAGAACTACAGGCACTAACTCCCCAGTACTAGAACTACAGGCACTAACTCCCCAGTACTAGAACTACAGGCACTAACTCCCCAGTACTAGAACTACAGGCACTAACTCCCCAGTACTAGAACTACAGGCACTAACTCCCCAGTACTAGAACTACAGGCACTAACTCCCCAGTACTAGAACTACAGGCACTAACTCCCCAGTACTAGAACTACAGGCACTAACTCCCCAGTACTAGAACTACAGGCACTAACTCCCCAGTACTAGAACTACAGGCACTAACTCCCAAGTACTAGAACTACAGGCACTAACTCCCCAGTACTAGAACTACAGGCACTAACTCCCCAGCTTGGTCCTATCCTTGCTTCACAACCTGGCTCCAGTCACTTTCTGCATGAACACCCCCACCCCCACACTAGCTCACAGAAAGTTCTCTGCCCTTTGAAGATCCTTACTCTTTGGAGTTTAACACAGGAGAGTCCCTTCACCTCCGAGTTCCCTGCTCTCAGCAAAACTGTGGCTTAAATCATTCATGTGTGGTGGCTTACATCGTTCATGTGTGCATTCGCTCACGCGGTAAGAATGAACCTATCTGGCATTGGCTAACAGCACCTGCTTTGATTCCCACCATGACTAAGTTGACTCCACCACTTAATTAACCGCAGTGTGACTCTGGATAGTCACGTTGCTTCTCTGGGTCTTGATTTCTTAATGTAAGGCAAGTGCCTTTCTCTCCTGAGTTCTGCAATGTTAGAAGAATTAGCACTATAAATAGCTTCAGCTCTTGGACCGATACAGAGTAAACACATACACAGCTTGTCGTTATTATTATTGAGTCTACCTGGTGCCAGGTAATCTGGGACACCACGAGTACACAAATGACACATCCAAGAGCTAACCAGCCGAGTGGCACAGGCAGACATATAAACCAGCAATTGCACGCAGTGTGACTAATGAAGAAGGTATGGCCACACACAGTGGTTACTCAGGCTAGCCTGTAGGCAGAGCAGTCGTGGGAAGACATCTCAGAGCATGAAAGCTCAGAGCCACGATACCAAAATGTGTGGGAGGGGCTGGAGGAAATGGCTTATAGTGCGAGGTGACCTCCACTGGTACTGGAATGGGGACAGTTACCTGTAAGAACCTGGATGTGCAAACTAAAGAGTATAAAGCGAGGGCGCTATGGGGAAGGGGTCCTCCCACTGCAGGGGACAAGCAGTGGTACTGATGGAAGAATCGACTGCATTTCCTATAGATCACTCCGGTAGACAGCGGTGGGCAAATGAGAACAGAAGACCGAAGGAGCACATGCCAGGGCTTTCAGTACAGCCTTGGGGCAGCCTGGCACCCAGCCTGGCATTCTTGCTAGGGTCCTTGGATCCTGGCTCTGGTGCCTCATCCTTGGCTCCAGGTTTCCAAAGGATAGCCTCTCATGAACTTCAGACCCACTCTCTCTCTCCTTTCTTCTGCAGTTCAGGCTCTGGCCTCTCTCTCTGGCTCTTCCCAGCTTCTCCATTCTTCCCCTGGAACAGGCTCGCTCTTGCCAAAGCCTCAGCTCCCAACCCGGCTCTCCCGGACCAGAACGAGCCCATCCCTTCTCCCCTCTGCCTCCCCACCCCACCTCATCGGACTCCAGTTGTTCAGCTGAGACTTGCCCTGTCTCATTTTCCCATTGATGACTCATGGATCAGGCGGGGTGAGGCCCCAGCTGCCAGAGCAGGGGGAGAGTTGGTGGCAACAGCCCCTCCCTGGCCTCACAGTGTCCTCGAGTCCAGCTGAGCAGTTCTCTCTCTCCTGAGGGTCTGCTGGCACTCTGAGGACCTGTCTGTGTCACCAAAGGTGCTTTCCCCCTACTCAACAGTCCAGCAGGCATTCCAAGGGTGAAAGCCTTTGCTCCTTCCTGGAAATTCAGAGCAGAAAGGGCACCCTTGAACTGGGAAAGCAGAGTAACCCCTTCCCTGCCAGAGACCAAAACTCCCCTGAAAGGTCACTGTCTTCTGAAGGAGCGAAGGGCCATCTTTCGAATAGCATGTGTTCTGAGAGAGCCAGATCTCTCTACAGTGAGGGTTCTTGAGAACCCAGGGCTCCCAGAATATTGGTAAATATCCATTCTGTTGTAACAGTCTCCACCTACACACGTGTCAGGAGCCTGCTGAGAGCCAGGTCCACAAGAGGGTCTCCAACCATCCATCTTATAGGGCTTGAGACTCCCCTACGAAAAGGCACGCCGAAGCTGACTCTGGGCAAGAACCAAAGCTGAGTGTGTAACCAGAGCCTGCCTTCATCCCAAGCACCTGCCCTCTGCCCTTGACTCTCAGCGCTGCCCTTTGCAGCACAATGATCCCTCTCAGCTCTGCTGAGGTCCACCCTGAGCAGCAAGGAAACAGTACGCGGTGCTTTGAGGGGCCTGTGGCCAGCTCCTCTGGCACCAGCTGGTATTGGTTTATCTCCCACTAAACTCTGACCTCCTAGGGCAGAGATTGGGTCATCTTTTTTTTTTTTTTTGTCACTGCAAGTCCACTAGAGAGTACCTAGCCCAGCAGGCATTATTTGGGGAATGACCACACCTTGATCCTAACCCTAACCCACAAACCTTCCTTCCTCATTCCTGAGTGCCTGATGCCTCATTTCTTTAAGCCCAAATCTCCACCCCCTCCGCAATTCCTGGGCTTGATTGGAATAGTCTGGAAACATGTTGTTTCGTAAGCATGAGGAAGCTAACCGTTTGCCATTAAATCTACAGCTTTCTCTCCTTTCCTGACGCATGAAAGAGCTGACTCCTCACCCACAGAAGACATCACCAATTGATCATAGCACCCTGGCTTAGACCTAGCCTTTACAGCATTGATCTAGGTTGGCATGGTAGATGCTGTTGTTTGACCTGGTGGCGTTAAGCTATCTATAGGGTGTACAGATAATGAATGGGACAGTTGTTAAATGTTCCTTTGTAAATCATACACTCATTCACCTGTAAGATGTAGCTCTCATCCAACACAGGAGATACTTCTGAGAACTGAGGGACATGGACAGAAGAAAAGAAAATTTTGGTTAGAAAACAAGAGAAGTTCCAGGATAGACAGGGCTACACCGAGAAACCCTGTCTCAAAAAAAAAAAAAAAAAAAAAAAAAAACAACTAGAGAAATATGAAGGAGTGAAACATGAGGAAAACGAAGAGGTTATTAAAGAGATTTCAAATTACTGTTCCTTCCAGAGACTCTGAAGCAGGACATCGCTCTGCACAAGGGAGGGTAAGACTTGCTGGTTATACTGGGAGGGATCGGAGGGGTGAGCAGCAGGTGCTGTCTAACTCCAGGTCATGATTCCTCTGCATCTCCCCAAGTAGGAATGGTTCCTAATGCTAACCACTAAGGAAGACTTCCTCTATGAATGTGTGCATCTGCATGTGTAAATGACAGGGAGAGAAGCCAGCCCAGCAACCAGAGCCGCTTCCCAGGCTGGCAGAGGCAAAGAAGTAAAGAGATTCTCCAAGCTCTAGGTGTCTGTAGTTAAATGAATTTCACTCAACAGACGAGGTAGTTACTACCCACATACTGGGCATCTTCATTCTGGAATAGGCATGAAATGGTAATGGCCAAACCCTTACCCCACCCCCACCACCTCCAGGCCCAGCACCAAAGTGAGGAGAGGGCAATAGAGTGTGCAAAGAGAGGGTATGGATGGGTGGGGGGGTCCCAAAGGACCTAAGCAGCAAGAGACCCCCAGGCACAGGCCTCATGCCCAGCAGATCCCATCTGCAAGCTAAGTCCATCGGCTGTCCTAAGGTAGGGTGGCCATCTTCTGGATCCCAGGCTATCCTCCTGAGTTCTGAGGCCTTGACTTAGCACGCCATGAGGAACTGCTCTCCTTTGGGCAAGTCTCAAGGCCAGGGGCCAAACAGTAGTCTGCAGAACCCAGAATCAAGGGCAGGATCAGTGGGAGGGGCCTTGATGCCAGGTAAGCCCCAAGGGCTCCATCATGGCGCATGAGGCCAGGCCTGTGGCTTGGAGGTTCACCAGTCTCCGTGTCCAGGAGCTGAATCTTCATCCTCAGCCCCTCGCTGGCTTCTGCTCTCCATGCCCGGCCGCTTGGCTCCTTCCATGATATGCTTCTCCCGAATGCCGGTAGTTTCCGCTGCATCACATGTAGTCAGGCCCCAACCAACCAGAGTGGACAGAGAGGCTGGAGGGAAAGAACAGTGGTTAGGACAGGGCAACAGTTGATTTACTGGCAACTGGGTGCCTCATGCCAGGCCTTCCCTGCCCTTTCTACACCAGAACAAACGACAATAATGTAGCCACTCCTGTTACCCACAGGAAACAGGTTTCAGGTCGTGCCACACAGATGCTAACTAAATTCTGGGAACTTCTTTCTATGACAGGGTGAAGTTTTTGCATATAACCTACATACAGCTCCCATATGCTTGAAGTCATCTCTGTGTTACTTTTAATACCTAACACAACGTAAGGTGTTACATTCTACTGTTTGGGAAACATTAACAAGAATAAAAAGGTCCGTGATGGGATAACATTTTTTTTTCACCTAGTTTTGACCAGGGATGGACTGAATCCACAGATGGCGACCAGGTAGACACAGAAGGCTGGTAACACACTATGAGGTGGAAACTGCTCCCTCTAGCCCTACTCTGAATCCTAAGGGATCAAGGTGGACCCATTCATAGCCCACTGGGTTTACTTTTTACCTGCTTTATTACAATGTGTGGAGGAGGGGCCGTCAACAGGCGTGCCAAAGGGGCTGCAGCATTAGACGGACCCCCAAGCTCGCCTGAACTCTGCTTGCTGGAACAAGGAAGAAGGAAGGGGAGGAGGATGAGGGGGTCGGCAGGGACCAAAGCTTCCACTGGGAAGTTAAGGACAGAGTTATATAAACCCCTCCTTGACCCAGCTCAGGTTCCCATGGGGAGGGAGTGGTATCTGGGGAAGAGGGCAAGAAGGCTAAATGCCATGGCTTCTAGGTTCTATTCCTGGTCGCTCCCTTGAGCCGTTCTACCCACAAAGCAACCCTCCAACCTCTGTCTTACTGCTCAAGAAGGATTAAAACATCACAAATAATCCACGGCCTCGCTCTTCTGGCTTTGCCTCCTCTGGTCGGTGGACCCTGGCCTGCACTCGTGCTAGGCAGGTAGACAGGCCCATCATCCCTGGAACTCATGGCCAGGCCACAGCCCACCTCACACATCGCTTGCTCCCTTGCCCTCCCAATAGCTCAGCCCTAGGGCCCCAAATCCACATTCAAGAATGAGTTGTTGAGCGGCTGGCTCAACCCAGCCCTCCACTGAGGTCCCACGTGGGGAGCTGGGACGCCATAGTTTTGTGCCCAAGCCCTTATAACTCCTTCGATAACTACAAGATGGTGAGTTTTCACCTCAGTTCAACGATTAAATTCTCTGACATGCATTCATTCTGGGAGAGATAATGCAGGAGCCCTATCGTATGTCGGGTGGCCCACAGGCCCACCACATGAGTCAGTGCTCAACCAGTCTCTGAAAAGGCCGGTCCCACCTGACAGGCCCTGTCTTCCTCTCAGACACTGGGTCGCATTAAGGAGCCTCCTGCCTGACACCTTAGGGAAAAGACCAGCTCTGCTCCCTTGGCCTGAGGCCCAGGCTTCCCAAACAGTGTTGGGATCCTACCCTGTCGGCCCCAGCAACTTTCCCTAGGGCTCTGGGGTGGAAAACAAAACCCCTGATTTTCTATGGAGGAGTGAGAAAGAAAGACAAAATAGAGGGTTCAGCGCTCTGGGGCTTACCTGACACGTCCTCTGGGCACGGAGGTGGTAGCGGTGGGGGCATGTCGATAAAATGGTATGCCTCGTGGTTTAGGACACGAGGGTGCCAGTCCCAAGACTCTGCCGGGCCCGCACGGTCTGGATGGCCTGTTGATTCTTGAACTTGACCAGGCCCAGGGTGATCTGAGCGTTCCAGCCGGGGTCTTCGAGGGGGCAGCGGAAGTCGATCTCACCCCCGCCCTCGGTCACTAGGGTGAAGTAGATGTGGCGCCCGGTGCTCTCCACGCACTCCACGGCTTTGATGCGGGCGAAGCTGAGCTCCTTGGGCCGGCCGCCCGTGCCCTTGGCCTCGAAGAGCTGCAGCCCGCGCTCGGTGAGCACGCAGCGCTTCCGTTTCCACAGCTGCAGCAGCCCGCCGCTGCGCTTCTCCAGCACGCCCTCCTTCAGCACGGTCGCCGCCGCCGTCATGGGCGTCCCCGAGGTTCCCACAGCGCTGGAGCCCGCGGCGGTCCCGGCTCTTAAGCGCCGGCTTCTCGCGCCCTGGGCCGGCTGGCCTTGCTCCCTGTCTAGCCGAGCCCGCGGCCCGGGACGCCTTGCAGACGACAGCGGCGCCGGGGAGACGCGGGAGGATGCTGCTCGCTCGCCGCCCGCTGGGGACCCTGCGCGCCGCTCCGACCGCCGCGAGCCTCTGCCGGGTGCCCTGCGCCTCTCCGCCCGCCCGCACGCCCGCTCCCCTGGGCTCTGTGTGCGCGCTGGGAGGCTGCTGGCGGGATGTGCCCTTACATGTTCCGCCGCTCGCCTCCTGCGCCACCCGCCCGCCTGCCGCGCATTCCTGTCCCGCTGGCCCTCCCCTCTGCGCCGCGCACCCGCCCGGTCAGGGCCCCCGGGGGCGGAGCTGCAGCGGGGCTCCAACACCCACCGCCGGCGCGGCCCCGGGAGGGGGCTGCTTACTCAACAGCCAGGCCTCCGGCCTGCTGTGGCCTTTTCTTAAGACACCCCCACCCCATTCCCGTTCCCCGGCCTCACACCCGGGACATAGGAAGAGAAGTGGGGAGGGCCTGATGAGAAGTCGGGGAGAGTGTCCGCTAGAGGAGAGAGGTCACTGCTAGCCAGGGGTTTGGCCTTGCTTGGAGATAGCCGCGTGACATCATGGCACGGTGGACGTCAAATACCCGCTGTGTGCTTCTCAAACCGCGGGAGTCCTGGTCTCCTGCCTCTGCCAAAGCTAGTGTTGGGTTCCTCCACCATCAGGAGATGTCTTTCTGCTGTACGCATAGGCTGGGGACAGCTTGGACGATCAATCCTCCCACGTTTACCTGCTTCAGCTTAGGGCAGACGTTAGAAAAAAGCCTGTATGAAGCAGGGAGAGATAAATATTGATGTGCCACTCACGACTTTACCATAGTGGGAAGTAGAGACACGTGCTGTGGGCTTCGGGTGTCCCACGGTTCTCTCCCCAAGCACCTGGAGGTGACCAGCACCCACTTGGAGGACCACGCATTCCTGGTGCAGTTAGTTCTCAGCCTTGTGACTTCTCTGCAAATTCCACCCCGGAGAATGGGCTTCTCCCTGGACTCCAAGCTGAGGGGAGACAGGCTTCTCTCCGTTAGTTTCAAACCTCTCTTCCTTGCTTGCAATCTCTCCTACCTGGACAACGGCTCTAACCCTTTGTGTTTCCATCTATTAAATGAGATAACTCATCGATGCTGATCTAGGAGGACTGAGTTAAGTTTGAGACCATTTGTGAAAGACCCGGGACAGACCTAGCAACTGAGTTATTCCTCTCTTCCTACTGTCTTCCGTTAGAAAAGGTTAGAGCCCATTCCCTGAGTTTTCAGTCCTCTTTCTCCATGGCTCTCCTAGGACCTCACGTGGCCTTCTGGGTCAACTCCTCCAGGCCAAAGTTTCTTAATTACCTAGTCATGGATAATCAATGTCTGGGACTCATGACACATACTGCGACAGAGAGAAGACCCCTTTGGACTCACACCTCATATTTCTATCCTCAATGAGAAAGTATCATGGACAGGGAGGGTCCCTTTGTGAGCCGGGGGTATCCTCCCCTGCAAAACCAGAACAGGTGTGGGGGGAAACGCTATGGACTTCCCACCCATAGTCCTGTATGTGGAGTGCACCTACACAGAGTCTGTCTGTCCTTCCCTCCATCCTTCTCCCTCTCCCTCACTCCCGACCCCCCACTGCCACTTCAGGAGAGAAAATGAATAGACCGTGCCTCTGGGACCCCTGTCTGCCAGCCATGCCTTCCGGTGGCTTTTTCCCATTTTTCTTCTAGGGTCCCCTGAGTTCACCAGGCTGGCAGAATCCTGCCTTGGCCCAACCTTCTCTCCTTTAGGAAATGGGGTGGGGGATGAAAGTGGCGATGTCTTCATTCTGTCCCATCTCTCAACATGCCCTCTCTCATTCATGCTTTCTGTAGCTTCTGGATCATCCCCAAGACTTAAAAACTTACAGAGCCCTCTCTCAAGTTTAAACTCTCATGAGAGATAGTTAATCATGTTTTTGCTCACTTTTTCTCATGAGGAGGAAAAAATGAGACGGTCGAGTCAAACCACTTAAACAGAATCCGAAGCTCTGTAAGCAGACTAGGATGTAAATGGATGGTGGTCGACAGGACCAGGAATCTGCTGATGACGTCACACTGCCTCTCCACAAACACTGAGCCCTTCTAATGCATGGCATGGCCACCCACACTTCTTACTCACTGGCTGGAGGGCTGGAGGCTTCTAGACAGTGGAGGAAGGAAGGGAGAGGGCAGCAGCATTGGGTAACGAGAGAGTGGGCAGAGAGGCACAGGAAGAAACTCAGAGGGGCACACTCTACTGCTGGGAGGGTCTCTGCCCACCAACAAACGGTTCTCTGTACCACTGCATCATCCTAACGGCCTGAGTCTGCAAGGCTGTGGCCTCCTGGGGTTAGGAAGGAGGATTCAGCTGCCCCAGGACTGGCATCTTTCCTGGAAGCCACCTGAGGGTTCCTTGGGTCCAGGCTGGATTAATTGACGATTGGGGGAAGTTTTTTGAGAGCAGAGCGTACAGGGTGTCATCGCTGTCAGGGATCCAGATCCTTTGCCAGGAACAGGAACTACTTCTCAGCCTGCTCAGGCCACTGGCCGGGGACAGATTGAGCTCCGGGATTTTGACTGGACTCTTATTGGCTTGTTGACTCCACATGGGACAGATGGACAGAATGTCCCCTGTAGCAACCCAGAGCTGCCACCTCCCTTTGCCCACACCAAATAGAAAGCTGATCTGCCCTGTCAGGCAAGCTGAGTCCAGCTGCTTGGGACTGACTCAAAATGCCTGGGAGGAGGGGGCAGGGAGTAAGTCGAGACCAGCTCTAGCTAGTGAATGTCCCACTTTGCACACTGTGAGGGAAGGAGGGGGCGGCCACAGCTGGGGGAAGAGCTACAAAAAGAAGCATAGGTGGCATTATTTTTAATGATTTATTTTATGTGCATTGGTGTCTTGCCTGCATGTATGTCTTGTGAGGGTGTCAGGTCACCTGGAACTGGAGTTACAGACAGTTGTGAGTGACCAGGTCCTCTGGAAGAGCAGTCAGTGCCCCCATAGCTGGTTTTAAAAATAATTGCACTTATATTTTATGTGTTTGTATCATGTGGGGGGGCACATGTGAGGGGGGCATATGTGAGGGGGGCATATGTGAGGGGGGCATATGTGAGGGGGGCCATGGAAGCCAGAAGAGGGTGTTCCATTCCCTGGGGCTGGAGCTCCAGGCAGGAGTGAGTCATCTGACATGGGTGCTGGGAACCAAACTCAGGTCCTCTGAAAGAGCACAGTGTTCTTAACTGTTGAGCATTCTTTCCAGGCCCAGAGCTACTGTTTTGTGCAATATTTACTTGAGTAGATTAAGTCAGGGAGTAATACACTGCTAGGCAAAGCAGCAGCAGTAAGGACAGTTTTGTCAGCAATGTAGAATGAGGCAGGCAGAGGCAGACCTGTAATAACTGCATTTGGGAGGAAAAACCAAAAGAATAAAAAAGTTCAAGAGGCGGTGATGGAGCATGCCTGTAATACCAGCAGAGACAGGCAGATCTCTGAGTTAGAGGCTAGCCGGGGCTACAGAGTGAGTTCCAGGACAGCCAAAGAAACCCTATCCTATGTAGTCTATATAGTGAGTTCAAGACCCACTTGGATACATGAGACCAGTCTAAAATCAAATCTAAACAATCTTTCAAAAATGGGATATGTATTAACACTAAAAGTTTTAAACTAACCCAGGTATGATGGTACACACCTATAATCCCAACACTCTAGACACAGGAGGGCTGCCACAAGTTTGAGTCTAGCCTGGTCTACATAGAAAGGCTAGGCTAGGCTACATAGTAAGATCCTGTCTCAAAAAGCATAAATAAATAAATAAATAAATAACTACATAAAGTGAAACTCCTTTGCTGACGATCCATGAAAGCCTTCTCATGGCACAGGGTTGGGATGATGCCAGTGATGCCACCTGCCCACCCGCTGGCCAGCACCAGTGGTTGGAGACCCGCTCTAGCTTGCTGACCTCTCCCTCCTTCCTGATGACCTTTGCATGATCACTCACTGCATCACCACCTGCTTCTTCTCTACCTCCCTCCATTCTTTGTTAGAGTACTACCTTCTCCATGAGACTGCTCCCCAACACCCTGCTTCACACTTCCACCCACTCCTCCAAACACAGACACGTCATGTTTCCCTCTCTGTGTGATGCCTGCATCGCCCTCTTCAGCCCTGTTTTTCCATTTGTCTATTGTCTGGCCTCTACTAGAATGTAGGCTTTATACCAGTGAGAGTTTGATATTTCTTCACCCTCACAACTCCAGCATCTAGGATGTTGCTTGATTCATAGGATGTCCTTGGTAAACATTTGCTGATGAGAGGACTAAATGGCAGAATGTAGCCAAAGGTTGGGAGGTGAAACAGAGTAATGCTTCCACAAGCTAGGGAACCAATTAAAGGAGTCTAAATATACCACCTAACGTAACAATGAAACTAGACCTGGCAGTTGGCTTCTGAAGTGCCAGCTCACAGGAGACAGAGGCAGGAGAATCGAGAACTTCAGACCAGGTTGGGCTATACAGTGGCTGCAAGGCTGGCCTGGACTACATGATGAGTCTACTTTATGAGACCACGTGTCTCATAAAGTCTAAACAAAGGTGAGCGGGGTGGCTCAACCACTCAGGGCATTTCAATCAAACCTAACAGCCTGATCCCCATAATCCACACAGTGGAAGGGGAGAACCAGCTCCTCCAAGTTGTCCTCTGACCTCTAACCACACACACTATGGCATTCATGCACCTCCCTCACCCCCCCAAAACAAATGTAAAGATTAAAGACTAAATAGTTAGCTGGGCGGTGGTGGTGCACGCCTTTAATCCCAGCACTCGGAAGGCAGAGGCAGGTGGATCTCTGTGAGTTCGAGACCAGCCTGGACTACACGAGCTAGTTCTAAGACAGGCTCCAAAGCCACAGAGAAATCCTGTCTCGAAAAAAAAAAAAAGAAAAAACAAAAAAAAAAACAAAAAAAAGAAAGAAAGAAAAGAAAAGAAAAAAACCTCAATAGTTAATAGCTCCTCTAAGAAAGGATGGAGAAAATGGTTTTTCTTTTCATTGTTCATCCTTCTATCTCATATCCAATGTTTTCAATCCTCTACCGATGTTGCTTCCTTTATAAATCTAGTTAAGTACCCAACACATCAACATTTATATAGTTAAAAATGATTCTGAGTAGCTGGAGAGATGGCTTAGTAATTAAGAGCACTTACTGTTCTTGCAGAGGGCCTGGGTTCAGTTCCCAGCACCCACATAGTGGCTCACAGCCATCTGTAACTCCATCTCCAGGGAACTCAGCCCCTCTTCTGGCCTCCAGAGGCTTTGAGCACATGTGCTACAGACATGCACTTAGACACACACACACACACACACACACACCAATAAAATTAAAGAAATATTTTTAAATGAAACAATAAGAAAGCTGACTAAATCCACAGTTGAGCCGGGAATATTTCAGTATTGGAAGCATAACAAGCTGTGAAACATGACCCCACATGAGCTGAAGCCCTCCTCTGCTATGCAGGTTAAATCTGGCAAGGTCCACACTGCTGTGTGACGATACGTTGGTGGGCTAACCTGAAGATGCTTGCCACTTGTTCTCCTTTTTTAGTTTTTGGAGACACGATCTCCCCGTGTAGTTCAAGCTGGTCTCGCTCTTGAGAGCCTCCTGTATCAGCTGCTCTGGTGTTAAAACTGCAAGCACATGCCACTATATCCAGCTTACACAGAGATCTCTCAATGAAACTGAAAACCCAGGGCTGGCTTGAGAGCAGGGTTCGTTTCAAATTCATTCATGGAGGTTGCTGTCTTCAGGGCATCTGTGAGCTTCTCTGAGATGGGCACAGCAGAGTCTCCTGCTGAGGGAATATCAGGATCAAATCAGAAAGAACTCCCCACCCCCTCCAGTCTCAGGAAACATAAAGAAGCAGTTTTCCTTCTGCACCTTGGGTACCTGGCCCCTAAGATTGGAAGGCTTTCTTCAGATGCTAGGGATAGATGCTGATGATTCAGTAGGTTTGGTTTGGGACCAGAGAATATGCATTTCTGGGTTTTTGAGATAGGGTTTCTCTGTGTGGCCCTGGCTGTCCCGGAACTCATTCTGTAGACCAGGCTGGCCTCAAACTCAGAGCCTCTGCCTCCTGAGTGCTGGGATTAAAGGTGTGCCCAACGAGTTATACAGGGTTCAGAGCAATGGTTCTCAAAATGTCCAGGACCAGCAGCATCAGAAATGCAAATTTCAGGCTCCATCCTAGACCTACTGAGTCAGAGCCCTGGGTTTGAAGCTGAGCAAGCGCTGCGTGTAAATGAGTATGAACCACTGACGTAGAGGAGGGAGCACTTGGCCAGGAGGCAGAACACTGAAGATCTGCACCAGCTCCATAGCAATCTGACAGTCACCCCTCTCATCACACCTCCGCTTATCAAGTGTGAAGTGAAGGCTGTCAAGCTCTGTTTTGTGAAGTTAGTAATGATTTCCAGGAAAGCCTGGTTGGTTCACAGGGCCTCAGGAACTCCCATGTAGGTAAGAGAAGAGGCTCATTGTTGATACCTCTTCAGCCGGTTCCTTTTTCCTAATTCATCAGAAACAGGTAGCTCACCTGCACGGGGCAGAATGAGTCCACCCAGAGTCCTGCCCCACCCTGGCCCTCTCTCTGTATTCACCTTCCAATTCGTAGGTCCCTCCCAGCCCTCCTCTCTTACCCCAGCATGTCTTTCCTCCAGACTTCTGATCCCCTTATTCCCCTTTGATGTACAACCCTTTTAGTTCAGGGCTTTGGGGTTTCCTCCGATCTCTGTGTTTTTTGAAAACTGGCCCAAGTTTCAAGTCTCTAATGACTTGAATTTAATGGGCACTATTGCAACAGACCTCAAGTGGGCAGCAACCGTGTAGCTGACCAGCCCGGGCATGCTCCTAGGCCTGTCTCTCTTGCTGGAAATCCCCTCCCACGCTCAACCCTTTAATCACTTTCCAACCCAATAACTTTCCTGATTCACCAGGGATCCCTTTCGTCTTGAGAGCGCCCACTGCCCCTCTCTGATGGGGCTGAGTCTGGACTTGAAGGCATTTGATCCCAGCTTGGGTCTGACAGAGATTGGATTTGTGGGCTCAGGGTTCAGGTTAGGGCCTGCAGAATTTTCCCCTTTCCCATGCCATCTTGGCATCTGGATACCTATGTTGCAGAAGCAGAAAGGTTACCCCAGAATGGCCCTCCGGGACACTGGACCACAGAATAGAGGTATTACCAGAACAGACTGAGGCCTAAAGCAAAGAGCTTTCCCAGCCTGCCAGCTGGGCAACTGTGAACCTATCCATTGCTTTCTGGTTCTTAGCTTTCTCTTTTAATAACAATAATGTGCTTTGAGTCACAGTGCCTCAAACCACGAATCCCAACCCTGTATGGGATTGTATAACTGTACATACTGAATATAGGGGTTGTGAAAACTTTGGTAAGATTAAAAGGTTTCTGAGCATTCAGTGACCAAATGTTAACTCACAGTCAAACACGATACGAATCTGTGGCGTATCCAGCATCCTGTGCCCTTGTTGTATTTGGTAACTTCACTGCTGCCGTCATCAGGCTTGTGTGGCAAGCTCCTTTTTTACCCACTGAGCCATCTCTCCAACTGGGAATGTTTGAATTTTAAAGCTATTGTTTGAGTTGCTAGCTTGAACTTCATTTTTCTTTGACAAGTAATTAAATAGATCATTAAATGCACTTTGGATTGGGATTGGGACGGAATTTCCAGCAATTTCTAAAATGGCCTTAAATATCCTTTATCGCTTTTTAGTATGTGTTTATGTGAAGTGGAGCTAGTAGCCCGATGATTGTAAAAGCAAAATACCAGCCAGTTCTCAAATATGTTGACTGCGCTCTGTGCCTGCAGTATTAAATATTCAGCCAAGACTTCATTCTTTATGTAAAAATAAACAGGCACACCAACCCCAAGAGATGCAAATTTGCTCTTATATTTAATAAATGACATGTGCACCAAAGGATAGCTTTAAATCAATTAGCGATTTGCTACCAGTGAATATTTGATTTGTACATTTATTCTGCAAATCTACATATCTGAGACTGTATAAAAAGTTCTCAGGTGTAAAGGGGTCTGTAGTGGGAAAGGGGGAAGAAGTAATCTTTTAAATCTGTGTAGGCAGCACATTCTCGGACTGCTCAATGACGGAGACATTCTGAAACACGTTGCTAGGTGAGCTTGTCATTGTCACAGAGCATACACTTAAGCCTGGATACTGTATTGTATGTCGGTTGCTGAACATGGTCCCTTGAAGCAACAGAGAGCTGAAGCAAACACTAGATGCAAGAGGCTGCTTCTGGCAAAACAGTGCACTATTTACAAACACCTTTTGTTCTTAAATATACTTCTAAGTAGGAAAAAATGTGCTCTAAGATAGCTGTTTAAAATATGGCATACTACAGCATACTAAATATACAAGGTGGAAACATGCTTGTTTATTGCCGTTATCAAGACTGTGTCCTCTGCATAACTGTAACTCCAATATTTCTTTTTTTTTGAGACAACTCCAATATTTCTGTGAGGATAGTGGGTTTGTTTCCACCAGCATTGCCACAAACTTGTGACAACAACAAAAACCAGGTGACAGAAAAGTTCAGCTTTATTATAGTCTTAATGAGATCGTCATCTGCGGTCTAACATTGGTGGAAACATTGTCTTGTGGCATGAGCTTGTACTTAAATACATTTTTACTGCAGACACTCAAAAGATGACACTATTTTTCACCACCTTTCTGGTCCCCATGTCTACAATGGGCAATCACGTTAGCCAGTCCTGGGTCTTTGCTTTCGGTACATTTGTAACGAGGATGGTATAAAGCAGCATCCTCACTGTGGGATTCTTGTGGGATGTGGGATTGATGGGAGGGGTTTTCTTCCAGCTCCAGCATTCTCTCCACTTCATGATGACTCTCCCTCTCTTTCTAGAGAGTTGACAGGAGGGCCCTAAGCTACAGTGCGTGGAGGAAGAAAAGTGGCAGGGAAGAGGACAGTGTCACCAGAGAGTCTTTCTAGATGAGGGTTTATGCACAACTTTCTTCCTGCCTCTGATTTTCAGATGTCCCACGATGAGAATTTTGAATGCCCCTGTCACTTTGGGTAGAGAAGAAGGCTGTGAGGTGCCCAGCCTGAGAAGAGGGTCAAGAAAAGATGAGCACACCTGACTGGAGGCCAGGGAGCAGAGGGATTCAAGAGAGGAACTCGGGATCATTGAGGGTCCCATGAGTCAGGCTCTAGCTAAGCTCTAGGGGAATGAAATTTGAGTCCTGTTCATGGGATTGGCAGAACAAGGGAGATAGAGTTCATAGGCTCAGGGGCCCACACCCTCCACCTCAGCAAGGTGACCCCTCTTGAAGAGACACCCCGAAGAAAACATTAGCTTTCTGCCAGTCCATTATAACCACCTCACAGAAACATGTTTCTTAGGTCTGAACACTGCCTGTCTAAAGTCACAGCTGACAAGGTATGCCCATAGTCATCAGGGTGGGCTGCTCACGCTACATTAATGAGCTCTCTGGCCCAACAGTTTACCCAAGCAAAGGCTACCTACAGTGCTCCTGCCTCAGTTTCCACTCAGGATACCAGGGAGGGTTCTGCTCACTGTAACACAGTGAATACAAGGTCCATCTTGCACTTGTTCCCACCCACTTTGCAAGGCAAAAAGGGGACATAAGGATTCACACAGTGGCTCTTAAAGAGTTGTGTGTGCAATATGTGCAAGTGTTCATGCATGATTGTGTGAGGTATGCGTGCAAGCATGCATGTGCAAGTATGTGCATGGAAGCCAAAAGTCAACCTGGGTGTTGCTCCTCAAGAGCCATGCGCCTTGGTTTTGACACAGGGTCTTTCCATGAACCTAGGACTCACTGGTTAGGCTCCCTAGTGAATACCAGGTATCTGCTGCTGGTCTCTGCCTCCCCAGTGCTGAGACTATAAGCAACCCCCTCCCCACTGTCTATACTTTTGTGTGATTTCCAGGGATTAAACGAAGGTCTTCTTGCTCACACAGCAAGTATGTTACTAACTGAGCTACCTCCCAGTCCCACTCTCTAAAGAGTTCTAAGCCATCCTGCAATTCCAACGCTTGGGAAGCTGAGACAGGAGGATTGTGGGTTAAGAACAGCCTCAACTACACAGCAAAGCTGTGTCTCAGAAACGAGCAACAAGCATTCTCTACAAGCTGGGCATAGCGATGCACACCTGTAATTTCAGCTACCTGGAAGCTGAGGCAGGGGGATTGTGAGTCCTAGAACAGATTGGGCAACATAGCAAAACTCTGTCTCAAACAAGCAGTCAAAGAAAGAGTTCTGTATAGAAATGACATGAGTCATTTTGGTCTCGGTTTAAACACCAGAGCAAGGCACATGGCCACATCTGACTTAAAGGGAGGAGGAAAAATGTACTCTTACCACACACTTAGAAGATTGGCAGGTATCTGTGAACAATCAAGGACTAGACAAGGTGGCTACTATGGGACTGGTGGGTGATCCCAGGAGGTAGAATCTTGGGAACTCCTTTTTATACCTATTATAGGGAACAGCAGGGCACAACCTGGACACTAACCTAACCCTTTAACACTCTGGAGATGTCTGTCCAAGGTCAACAGAGTGGCAGTATGGAAGGCTCAGGGGCAGACACTTCTAACTAGGCAGAAGGGCTTGTCCAGACATGGAAAGTGCCCACTAAGATCTTCGGTCAGGATAATCTACTTCCTGAATTTTCAAGGCCTTTGGGGCGAGTCTTCCTAAGCCCATAAACTAAGAACATCAGAGTTGGGTGGGTCCCCTGGAGCCTGGCTGCTCCGGTGTGGTCTCTGGATCCACAACATCAGCACCACCTTCCCCTGGGAGCTTGTGAGAGACATCCGGTCTCAGGCCCCACCCAAAACTACTGAACTGGAATCTGTGTTTTACAAGATTCCCCAGGAGATGTGTATGCACATCAGAGCCTGGGAAGTACTTCCCCAGCACTAATTTAGGCCAACATTTTCATTTCACAAATGAGACGCTGACACCCAGAGGGGAGGAGGCTGGCCCAAAGTCACACAGCTGGTTCCAATCCTGGCTCCACCACTTGCCAGAGACTTTGAGTAAGTCATTTAAAAATGCACTGACTCTCACTTTCCCCTTCTATAATAAAGGGTACCACATTCAACTCCAAGTGCTTGTGAATGCATCAGGTAGGACAGCATCCGGATTAGGATTCATGAACATCGACTGTTACTACAGTCCAAGCTCATTGCTCTAAGGCCACCCTCTCACCTCCCTACACACGGCAGCTTCTCTACCGACTGTGCTGTGTATTGCTGTGTAGGGGTGAGTGCTTGGCCAGTAGGGTCTATACAGAACCCCCTCCACTGTGTGACCTTGAACTAGTTCCCAAATTGTTCCCTGGTTCCTGGCTTTAGTTTAATCATTCATCAGTGCTTTGACTCTGTCTCATAAGGTCATTGAAGGTCTTTGGTCTTTGAATAGTCTGTGGTATAGAATAAACCAGAAATGACAAACTTACATTTCCAAACTACCCAAAAGAAGGAGACCCCAGGGAGTCTATAGATCATTCCCAGGATGGTTCTACTTTGACACATCCATGTATCTCAAATGCCTAGGTTTTCTTTCCTCCTCTTGTTCTGAGGTTTGAACCTAAGGCCTCACACATGCTAGGGAAGTGCTCTACCACTGAGATATACTCTCAGGCCCTGAATACTTCTCTTCTTCTTCAGCTAGTGAAATGGACTCTCAAGGCTTCCAGTGTTCTCTCTCAGGAACCAGGGACAGGAGGGGTAAAAGAGGATGGAGGCAGACTGGAGGACAGCTGCGCTTAACTCTTTGCAGACTGTCAGAAGAAGAAGCTTAGACCATGTCTCACTGGCTCTAGGGAACAGAAGCAGAAAATTCAGGTAACTCCTCTCCAGCTGTTGGAAGCAGCTCCAGTAGCAAGTGAGCTGCTGAGTAGGAGGTCTCCCTTGCTGCAAGGCTGTGCGCTCTACACGTGCTTCCGCCCAGATGACCGTGGGCTCTAGTATCATCTCAGGCACTTTTCAATACAGATTCCCAGGCCCCGCCCCAACCTGATCAGAATCTCTAGGGTGGATCTGGGATCCATTTTAAAAGCACCCCACCACCCCCACAATGGTTCTCATAACAGGAGTGTGTGTGTGGAGGCAGGACCAGGACTGGAAGAAGGGAGTCAGAGCCATCCACTGACTGCTTCCCAAGGGTCTTTGATCTTCTGGAGACTGTAGCTTCACTGGGTTTCTTTTCTTCCCAAAGATGCATTCTTCATCGGGGATTAAACACCTAATAGCAGATCAAACACACACACACACACACACACACACACACACACACACACACGCACGCACGCACGCACGCACGCACATGCACATGCACATGCACACCACCTTATTTTTTGCAGCAAAATTGTTCTTGAACTCACTTTCTTCCTGCCTCAATCATCAAACATATTCTCCCTCATCTGCAGTCTGGCTCCCTCAGAAGTCACCCTCTCAGATGACCAGACTCTGGTCTTGGAAGAAGCCTGAATGCATTGGGCCTTGAAAACAGGCAGCTTTCTCCCAACACACCCTACAGGCCCAGGGCACTCATGCAACTGGGCGTCCTTCTTTCCCCCAAGGGCATCCTGGACCGCGCCTAGGTCTCCCTTGAATGGATACAAAGGGCTCTGCCTACTTTCCTCCTTTGGGTTATTCTCACGGTTTGGCAGGCCACGGGTCACGCACTATTAGTATGCAACTCCTGCCAGGAAGATGCTATCCTTGGAGATTAGATGCCCGCACAGAAGCAAAGGGTTGTCAACACCTACAGCAGAAAGGGAGTAGCTAACAAAAATATAATGAAGTAAAAACAAATAAAAAGAACAGAGAAAGGGAGTGGCTGCCTTGACCCCACAGCGCCACCTGGTGTCTACCGGCACAGAGCAAGCTCGGCGCCTGCGGATCCCCACCGCTGCCCAAGTTCCAAGCAAGCTGGCCACGCACCTCCAGAGAACAGCACTACCGCGCGGTGCTTTCTGAACGGGTTGCGTATGCATTACAGCCTTCCTCTGGTACCCTGGCTTTACGCCGGAGTGCGTGCTGTCCCTTCTGCAGTGCGTGACTGAGGGATAGACGGAGTAGCCAGGTCCTGCCTGATGGTACAGTGCTGGCCTGAGGACACGCGCCCGCGCAGCCAGCAGAGGGCAGCCGGTCTCCACCTTCGGACCCCAAATGTGCCCATCCTGGTACTCCTGTGGGCCCCGCCCAGGGAAGGAGGATCCATTTGTGTTTATGGAGTGAACCATTGTCCTTCGAGCACAAACCTCCCCAGAACCTCCCGTCCTAGGTCTTGACCCCCGTTTGGGAGCTGTCAGTCTGAACTCCAGCTGTTCGGCCTGCGTTCCCTGGCACTTTCCCAACCCTGCACCATCGGTGTAGGTCCAAGAGGAGCATTGCTGGCTTACCTATCTGGCTAATACAAACACAAAATGTATTGTTTACATTCTACTCATTGCTTTGGAAAAGTCAGTGTGGGCAACCTTTTCATGTACTGACAGAGAAGCCCAGCTCTGGGTGGGCCTAAAACGAGCAACTCTACAGCACTTCAGACAAGCCTACTTCCTAAGTCTGGTCTTCCTTGAACCTGGTTGTGGGACCCTAACGGGGAAGCCGGCTGCTAGCTGTGCCCCAACCCCAACTCTTCCCAGAAGAAGTGAGATTTCTGGACACAGAAGGTTCCTCCGGCCGAGTTTCTCTTTACAAGGGACTTTCCGAGTTGAAGTGCTAAGCACGTTGTCTGGACCTAACAGAGCCTCTCAAAAGCCAAGTCCACAAAATTCCCATGTCATGAGGTGGGGTGGAGGGCAAACAGGCAAGGCATTTGGTTGTTTGGCTCTCTTAGAACTGACACTACAAAGTAAGTAGACCCTAGAAAACTCTTTGAGTGAGTCATCTTTTGTTTGTTTGTTTTGTTTTTCAAGACAGGGTTTCTTGAACTCACTGAGATCCTCCTGCCTCTGCATTCCAAGTGCTGGGACTAAAGGCATGCGCCACCACCGCTCAGCTGAGTGAGTGATTCATTTCCAGCAGGCCCGGCTGCAATTGTTCTTGTCCAATTCCCCTCCTGGCCCCAAGGTGTGGCAGGGCCCCACAGACAGAAGAGGGACACCAGAGTTCTGTTCTAAACTGCTTTATTGACCAGATGAGAGATCAGCTTCCAAACAGCCCATGCCCTTGCAGCCAACAGCGTTGTCCTGGGAGCATCATGGCCCAGCCCTTCCCCTTCCTCCCTCTGCTCCTGCCTGAGGACCTGGGAGCTAGTGAATGTCCCTAAGAGAAGGGTGGGGTGAAAGAGGCAGGGTCTGGGGGGTCTGGGTTGGAGGGGAGTGAGGACTGGAGGCAGAGGGAAAGACAGGTTACCTCTGCCTCCTACCACATTAGATCAACTATTAGGAATGGCTAGAACACAGCACAGAGAGAAACTGTCCATCCCAGCCACCAGACCCAGGGTTAGGACCAGAATTGGAGACTCCAAGATCTTGACCACTGATGAATATGAATGCATGCTTTTCATTAGGATCTCCCCTTCCCCATAAAACAGGGAACTTGATGTTAACCTAAGGAAATCAGGCAACCTCCAGACTCCACTCCAGGCCTGGGTGGTTCTCCATTCCTAATGGAACGATACCAGTTCCACATTCAAAGGCAAGAGCCCAGAGAAAGAGCTCCTTCCTATGGTCTACAAACCTGTCTGTACACCTCTCCACCTCCCATGGGGATACCCCCAGACTGAAATGCCTCGGGTTTATTCTGAGAGGGCACTCTCTGGGATCCAATAAACTGCAGTCTCCCCAGCCCATTCCTGGTCCCGCCTCCCTCCCTCCAGGTCTGAGGCTTGACTACAATGGGCTCCAAAGATTTGGGCTCAGATATCCTGATCAGTAGAGGATGGACATTCTGTTTGTGGGGGTGAAGTGTGGGGAGAGGGACCTGTTCTCTGTAAGTGGGTGACAGATGTCTCTTAAAGGTTGTGGTATCAAATGCCAGGCAGGAGGAAGCCCTTAGTGGGGTAGGAGCTCAGGCAGACCTCCTAAACCAAAAGAAGCCAGATACTCAAGTCCAACATTAGTGATGTGCACCAGGGCTGAGTGAGAGAAAGAATCTTGGAGGTGTCCAAGGCTTCTGGAAAGGGATTGATGACAAAAAAAAAAAAGCACAGGAGAAGGCAGGATATGCAGGCAGCAGTGGCCTCATTCTGAGTGAACCAAGGCACCAGCTCCTTGTCCAAAGCCAAAACCTTTGGGTCCAAAGTTTTTAGCATAGCATCCTGCAGAGAGAAGAGAAGGGTAAGGATGTGTTCCTGTTCCCATAGCAGTTCCTCCTGCCACTCCTACCTCCCCTTCTCCTAGCCTCAATAGTGAGGACCCAATGAAGTTTCCCCTTCATTGCAATAATGGAAGGAATCCTTTGCTGAAAAACACCGGTCAGGTAGGTATTAGGATCCTAGGCCTATGTCCTATGACCTTTGTCCTGTGACCCTTGTCCCTGCCCTATGTTCCTTCTGACTCTAGTCAAGTCCCATTCTCCCTCTGGTCTGGTTTCCCCACCTGTGTCATGAGATGCTCTATCTCTTGGAGCAAATGGCAAGGACTTGGTTCATTAGTGACATCATAGTCACTTGGTCTCCTGCCTCCTCCAGCCTTCTACTCTTCAGAGAGAAGTGGAACTACCCACCTTTGCAGTAGATCTCACCATCCTTGTCCGCCAGGGTGGTCGACTCAAGGCCTTTGCCACATTTGGCACACCGGAAGCAGGACTTATGCCAGGACTAGGTAAGAAAGGAAACAGCTAACATCACGGTTGTGGCTAAGGTTTTCCACCCTAGCCCACCAATAGCTTGCCATAGTAGACAGATATTTTGCAAGTCAGGTAGGGGTGGGGTAGCTGCTTGGAGAATGTGGCCCAGACACAGAAGAAATAGACCAGGGACCAAGCACGCACTAGTAGTATGCACCATGGCTCCTTGCTTGCACCATGGAAGGGGGTCACACCCCACCTGGGTAGCTGTACACCCCACAGGCTGCCAGGCAAGGCTTCTCCACACTATTTTGCCTATAGAATTGGTATGGCACTTCCACATGCTACTTGAACACCTGCCCTGCTGTCCTCCCCAGGACCTCTCTGTTTATCTTGCAGCGTGGACATGAGGACCTGATGTGGAAAGGGCTGGCACATGGCAGAACGGGCATTTATCACTGTTTCTCCTGGCCCGGCCCAGCCTCTGAAGTCATAGAACTCAGTGCCTCAGCTCAGCTCTCACAGAATGGTGTGGCCTTACTTCCTTTGCTAGCCAGATGCCAGAGTTAGATCTCCTGGACACTGGACATCATCCAAGAGCTCTTCATGTGCCCAAGGACAGCAGCAGTGATCCTCTGAGGGCTGGGATGGGGTCAACAAACGATCTTAATTCGTCAGTGCTCTGTGCAAACCTTTTATACACAGGCTACCACCCAGAGGACACCTCCAAATAAGCTCAGTATCTTTTTTCATTCACTCAACACTGAAAGGTACTCTTTGTTCCTTAATGATTCTTAAGGGGGCTTCTTCCTCCCTTCTCCTTTGAACTCAAATGTTTCTTATTCTGTACAATCTTTCTTTTTTAAAAATATTTATGTTATGTATATGGTGCTCTATTTGCAGGAACACCTGCATGCCAGAAGATCTGATGGTGGCTGTGAGCCACTATGTGGTTGCTGGGAATTAAACTCATGACCTCTGGAAGAGATGTCAATGGTCTTAACTGCTGAGTTATCTCTCCAGCCCTCCCCTACACCCCCTCCACGCCACTCAGTACAGTCTTAACTTTATCCTATGCCATGGAAATAAGGATTCCTGGATGTTTATTTAATAATTTCCTACTCCCATGGGCAAAGGTGAAAATTTGAATTGTGATATTCACATCTTTTTTCCTCCCTTTTGGGAGTGCAGTCTGGGATTACAGGCATGTGTGGCCACGACTGACTCCTGTCTTCATGACATTGAAGGCATAACTTTGCCCATTATACATGCATTACTTAATGTAATCTTAAAATCATTTTGTTCGTCAGGGACCATCATGGTTTCAGTTCATAGAGGCTCACATTATAACTGTTGCTTAGTGTGGGAACACAAGACCTTGAGCAGAGACCCACTTCCCCTTCTGCCTGGGAGTAGGCAGCTGTAAGACAATGTTTACTAAAAACATGTTTACTAAAAACAATACAATGCCTGGGGGCATTAAGTTCCTGGAAAAGGCCTGCCCACAGAAACCACCCTGACCTCGACCTTGTCCAAAGACTAACCACCTCTTCTGCCACGCCCAGATCAGTTTCTGGGGTCAGAGCAGAACCAGCCAGGGTGGAGGAGAGAGCAGAAGCTTCTCTGGTGGGAGCCTTTCTTAGGAAGTTTTCTTGAACCTTTTTGGGGCCTGCTTAAAGTTTTTTTTTTTTTTTTTTTTTTTTTTTGGTTTTTCGAGACAGGGTTTCTCTGTGTTGTTTTGGAGCCTGTCCTGGAACTCACTCGGTAGACCAGGCTGGTCTCGAACTCACAGTGATCCGCCTGTCTCTGCCTCCCGAGTGCTGGGATTAAAGGCGTGCGCCACCAACGCCCGGCGCTTAAAGTTTTCTTTACATCGTTGAACAAGTCTCTGTGTTGTCAATCCCCGACACCCTCTGCACGTTCTCGGACACAGGCCGCGCAGCAGACGCGACAGCTTAGGAAGGCTGAACTGGTCCCAGTGCACATGAGTAAATGGTAAAGCCAGGATTCAAGCAGGTTGCCTAGGGCTGGTGCAGTTCATCGACCTATTGGGATTAACAACACTTGCTGTCTTTGCAAATGTTTTCAAAGGGGTTAAGCGACCCACAGTAAAAAGCAGGACCTCAGAGTCAGGCACACCTGACTGAGCTTCTGGCTCGATTTTCTTCTTCTTCTTCTTCTTCTTCTTCTTCTTCTTCTTCTTCTTCTTCTTCTTCTTCTTCTTCTTCTTCTTCCTCCTCCTCCTCCTCCTCCTCCTCCTCCTCCTCCTCCTCCTCCTCCTCCTCCTCCTCCTCCTCCTCCTCCTCCTCCTCCTCCTCCTCCTCCTCCTCCTCCTCCTCCTCCTCCTCCTCCTCCTCCTCCTCCTCCTCCTCCTCCTCCTCCTCCTCCTCCTCCTCCTTCTTCGTTTGTTTGTTTTTGTTTTTCGAGACTGGGTTTCTCTGTGGCTTTGGAGACTGTCCTGGAACTAGCTCTTATAGACCAGGCTGGTCTCGAGCTCACAAAGATCCGCCTGTCTCTGCCTCCCGAGTGCTGGGATTAAAGGAGTGCGCCACCAACGCCCGGCTTCTGGCTCGCTTTCTAGCTAGACAATATGAGTAGATCATTCATTCCTGATTTTTGTTTTGTTTTGGGTTTTTGGTCCTGTGTGATGGAGATAATTCCGACAGCAATGAAGGGACTATGGTCCAGATTTGACCCGTGTTAGTTACCATTCCATCACTCCTGAAACCCATTCCTCAAGATCAAAGGGTGTTCAAAGCCATGGCCCGAAACAAAAGGAGCTGTCCATGGGCTCTAGGCGCCATGAATTCATTGGCTTGCTGTATGATCATGGTCAAGTCACTCATCCAGCCCAGACCTCAGGTGAGGTCCGGAACTCCTTCCTTGAGGGACATGTGCTGTGTTCTGCTGACTGTTAGTCTAAGACCGCAAACCCCGGGCTCTCCTGCTCTTTCCCACCAAGGCCTGAACACCAAGGAAATGATGGCTGGGCTGTTCGGACAGTTGGTTGGCTAGGGTGATCCTCATTGGGCACTACTGACTAACATGGGGAGGGCAGGCATGGCAACATAAGTAGCATGGGAAAAAACCTTCCAGCAGGCTAACATGGTTACATGGGTGGGTTTCAGGTAGAACACATTCCATGAAACAAAAAATGTTTATTTCCAGATGGTTTGTGAATGTTTCTGGAACCAAAACTGTGAATCTTCCTCCTAGAAACAGATACTCCCTTAGAAAACCCGGCCATGTAATCTTAGGGTGTGGGCCCTTCAACAGCCATCTATCTATAACCTTAGCCTCGAGCCCTCAACACTAGAGTACCAGATCCTGGGAGCCTATGTACCCATCTTAGCAATGCTCTACAAGCTGACTAAAGACAATCCGCAACACTGGGGCTGGTACAGTTTGTGGGTTAGGGGAGCCCCTGGGGCCTGGGACAAGCAACCCACAAGGACAAGGGCTCTCAGTTTCTGGAAGGAAGCAAAGCCCAGTGCTCGGGCTGCCCTGAGCTCTGTAATGCAGAAGTGCACCTCCCTCCTGTTTTCCTCATGCCCAGTAGCGACTTACCTTCCCAGCACCAATCACTTTCTCTGCAGCATAGACTGCCTGGCTGCATCGGGGACAGCGCTCAGAGCCACCAATCTTCTGGGCAAACTTGGATGCGTTGGGATTGGTAGTAGGCCTGTGCCCGGGGGCTCTACATGCAGAAGTACATGTGGTGAGATGACAGTCATTGCAGGGGAAGAACCCTTTTGCCTCTTGCCAGGGACAGGGCCAACCAAAGCTAAAGTCACCATGGCCTCTGAAATCCCAAAGCGCAGCATAATATCAAAACAGCACATTTTCCTCGTCACCTAGTTAGAGGCCCGCCCCAGGATCATTTAACACATCATTTGCTAAGAATCCCCCTCAGCCCCTCATTTCTGCAGCTGGTCTATTATTAGACTCTTTCCAGGAGAAATCTGCTGACAGACCAGTCCCATGGGGCAATGACCTTGGCTAACATTCACCAAGTCTTCATCATCCCATCCACTTCCCCACTGCTGACCCCCCAGGGTGCCAGCCACCCTCTGTCAGCAGGTCAGAGGCAAGAGATGACGGAGGGTGAGGAGTCCCAGGAAAGGAAACTACTTCCCCTTGGCAGGGGTGAAGGGTGGTGGGGCTGTGACACAACTCTGGGCTTTCGATTATAAAATGGAGAAACTGAGCTATATAACTCTTGGGGCCCCTTCCGGCTCTGACACTTGCTCCAAGCAGCATTCCTACTTGGTCCTCAGCTGCCACAAACACCCCACAAAGTCAGCTGCTGTGTGACCTTTCATTTATTTTTATTGTTATTTGTTTGATTTTGGTGTGTGTGTGTGTGCGCGCGCGCGCGCGCGCTCCTTTGTGTGTGTGTTCATGAGTGTGTCCATATGAGGTGAACATGCATATGTATGTTCATATATGTGGAAGCCAGAGGTCAACAGTAGGTTTCCTCTTTAATCATTGTACCTTTTTTTTTTCCTTAAAGACAGACTCCCAATGATTTAGCTACACCAGCTGACCAGCAAGTCCCAGGTATCCACCAATCAACACCGGGGCTATAGGTACACATTGCCAGTACCCAGCTTTTACATGGGTGTCTGGGGTTAAACTCAGGTCCTCATGTTTATGTGGTGAGGACTTTACCAACTGAGACATTTCTCCCCAGCCTGGTTTGTTTTTGCTCTTTTTATCACAATCTCTATTTGTAGCAAGATCTTTCAGGTTCAGTCTCCCTAGGATGACAGGTAGGGACCACCATGTACAGCTTTCCCTTTTAAATCAAGGGCTTCCCAGAACCTCCCCTGCGCCCCCTCTGCTTAACCAAAAGTGGTTCATTGGTGTCCACCTCAAGAGCAGGTGATAACTCAAGAAAAGGTAGAGAGATGCACTCACTCCTCATGCTTGATGCCCAGAGACTCCCCCTTGTCCGTGCTCAGTGTGCCTGCGCCCTGTCCATAGCCATAGCCTTTTGGCCCATACTTCTTGCCGTAGCATGACTTGCAATAGATCTCTTCTCCATGCACGGCCACAGTGGTACTGTCCAGATTCTTCTTGCAGACCACTGGGGAGGAGACAGGAATGGTGAGAAGCAGCTCCCAGACCTCCCAGGGCTTATGCAATAAGGGAGACCAGCAGTGTGACCAGTGGGCTGACTTCCGGGAAGCTAGGAGTATTTCCCTCAGACCTCTGTACCCTGGTACCTACCCAAGTCTCACTGACCCCACGTTCAGAAGCCAGAGCCGAGGGTAAGATCAGATGGAGTTTTACATTCTGCTAATACAGAGATCACGTGCCCCAGCAGGAAAGGGAACAGAAGGGTAGGGAGGAGAGCAGGGTTTTGCTGCCTCCCGCAGTGGCGTTGCAAGAACACATCTGGGTGTGTGGTTGCAGCTGGGGCGGGTGTGCAGGTGAAGAGATACACCCCGAAGAGAAATGGAACATGCAAGTCATGGTAATCAGAGCTCAACTTGCAATTTTGTCTTAAAAGTCACTGGCCCACAGGGAGAAGAGGGGCTGCACCCAAGGGAAGCAGGTCCTGAGTCACAGGGTGGGAGAAGAAGGGACACGGTGAGCTGGAGGCCTGCTACCCTTCTCTGCTACTCTCTCGGGAGCTGTGTCAGATACCCAGTATACAAGGGGACAGTCTGGCCTCGGGTCCCAGCTCTCCATTCCATATGGGTGGCTGGAATAAACTGTTTTGCCTTTCCAGGCTCGGTGTCCTGGTTTATGAGTGGGGATAACCACGTCTACCCTAAAAGGTAGTCAGGACCGTCAAGGGACATCTTAGATGTGACAGACTTACTCAGCACCCTGTGCACAAAGGTTCATAATAAATGTCACCCACTCTTTCTAGCATTGCACACAGGTGGTAGCAAGGGAGACAGAGCACCTAATTCCATCTTCCTACCTGCTTCTCCCAAGAGACTCAACTTAATATTCCCAAAATACTGGAATTGAGTCATCGTAAATACCCAAAATACCCCCTCTGAAGCTGGAAGCCTACCGACACCTCAGCGCCCCGGCAATGGCCGTTCTCTTGCCTTTAACGGTCTAGCCCTCCTCCAGTCCTCTTTGAGCCCAGCTTGAGGACTTCAGACTAAATAAGGACCCTCGTGTCCAGCACTTGAGATCCCTACCTCATTCCAGCCCTCTCAGCCACCCAAATATGGACCCTCCCACCACCTCCCCTGGGGCCTGGCTCTGGGAAGAACACTAAGGCAGGGAACAACAGGCCAAGGCTCCAACATTCCCTTCTAGGGTGGGAAGTCAGGAACCAGCCTGGCCGGAACTGTTTCCCTTAGGCCTACTTTAAACTGGGAATTCCAAAATGAGAGATAAGAGCCCAAGGAGGAAAAGGCCTTTTTTGCAGTTGTCTCTGGCAAAGGACGACCGGGGTCTTGACTCTGGAGACACCAGGCCCTACAAGACCACACCCTATAGATGGCTCCCCTGTGTGCTAGTCAAGACCTCCTGTTTCTTTCTTCATTACCTTGGTTTTCTCAGTGGTACAGTCTTGCTTACTGTAACTCCAACATAGCCTCCTCCCCCTCCACCCTAGTGATAATAGTAGGCGACTCAGCTCACTTGTGGGTGTGTCCCCCCTCCCCCTGCGTACCCCCAGCAAAAGCTTTGCCAACAGAAATTCTGAATATATTCTTCATTCAAGGAATACCTGAATAAATGTCTTTTAAATCAGGTTAAGCAAAACAGAAACCCCTAGATTAGTCTGTGCATTTTTTCAGAAACTGTTTCCAGATATTACCTGGCTCTGTGGGGCCTTGTGATGCTCTTTGGGAATATGGAAAAGAGGTACCCACTCACCACACCTGAAAATGGAAAGTAACCCTGCTTCTGGAAGGAAAACCAAAACCCACAAAAACCCGCTCAGGGTCACAGGGTCTTCCAGAAGCAAGGCCAGGCCAGATTCCAGCTCCGATTTCCAGTAGTGGTTTTCCACCAGGCTATGGCTCTTCCAGAGGCAGAAAGTAAAAACTGACAGCCTGGGGGGGGGGGTCAGAGAGGTTTCTCCAAGTTTCCCTTGTGCTCAGACTCTGGGGGACAGCTTAGGGCCCACCAGCAGGCTTCGGTAAGACAAATGGAACTTTCTTGTCTACAGAATGGCTGCTCAGCTCAGCTCACTCCAGAAAGGAGCTGGCTGCAACTCAGAGTTGGGCACACCATCTCAAGAAAGGCTCCTATTGCGCCTGAACTCAATCTATCACCCACTTGCAGTCTAGTGGGAAGAGCCCTCTCTACTGAATTGAGGGGGCAGAGTGGAGATGAGGCAGACTCACTGCAGGTCTGCCTCTCTGCCTCAGGCCAAACCCAGGAAGATGTGGTCCCTCTTATCTTTCCTATTGCACCATCCCAGCTTCCTCAAACTTATCCTAACCCTCCAGAAAAGTGTTTACGGTGACAAACTGAGTTGAATACACCGCCAAGGATTAGAATTAGCAGGCCTCTTTTAAGGACCTGTCCTAGGTTAACTAACACAATGGCTCCAAGTGCCACCCAGAACCTGCTGGCCTTTGCCGAGGAGGAAAAGCCCTTTGAGTCTATGGGTTACCATGAATACCATGACTGGAAGGGGACCACGCTCCTCTCGTTCCTGACAAAGTCATGTGCCCCGCTGTTCAGGGGTGCTAGGGATAAGACAGTGGGGGATAACTTCCTAACACGCCTGGACAGCACAGGGCTGGGGCAGACACTTGAGAACTGCACAGGCCCGAGATGCCACAGACACACACAACCATCCCCTAGACTCCGGACCTGCAGTGACAGCTGCATAGCACCCCTCCTCCCCAACCCCGATACTCTGCAATTGCTGCTAATCCCTGACACCCCCTCCCACCCTGCTCCAGGTCCTGCTCCTTCCTTCCACCACCCCCTGAATTCCAGACCTCCATCCACGCCTCACCAGAAGCTAGTCCTCTGCATCAGGACGTCAGCAGGCGCGCTGGACACAGCTGCAGCTGGTCCTTTTTAGTCCGTGATTAAGCAACATTTGAGAGCAGAGAGGGGCCTTGCAGACCCACAAGTCCAGACCCCCTTCCTAGCTGGCACCAAGCTGTCTCTTATTCCCTCTGGGAGCAGGGGGCACGGGTGGGGGGGATTGAAAACCCCTCATGATGAGCTGCTAAGGACCAGCTGCTTCTGTCTGCAGCCTCCTCGGTAGGCTGGGAGCCAGCAGAGCTCCACAGAAGCTTGTCATCTCCTCATTTATCACATGTGCCCTGGGACTGGCGCCCCAGGCCTGCTGTGCAGTGCGAGGACCCTGCTGGCCCGTGCAGGGTGGCTTCAGGCTGGCCTGCCCAGTAACAGGTAGAGGTATAACTATCAGGTGAGCATGTACCACGAGTGCCAGCTGGATCCCACTCCAGATCAAACCAGGGGTGGGGAGGGGCGTGCAGAGTTCCTGACTGATCTCACAGGGCAGGGTGTCCTGGACCTCATTTCCTGGACCTCTCAGGTGGGCTGGGATGTCATTCCCCCAAGTGTTCCACCTCCCTTCTGCTGAGCTCTTATCAATGAGCATGGGTGAGTTTGTGTATTTATTGAACACCCATCCTTCTTGAAGTGCTTCCTCTTTTTTTTTCCAACTCTCATTTCAGTTCTCGCAGTTAACCCTATGCAGTATTGAATTTGTCCATCGTCACGCAAACAATACGAAGTAAGTTGCAATCCTAGCCCTAATCAGATTGGCGTTGACATCCTAATGCCTCCCAGGAAACAGCTGGTAGGGTTGGTTCTCTCTCTAACGCAAACTTCTGCTCTGACCACAAAGTGCAAATCATTTAGGAATTGAGGAGAGGCTTCTCCAAGTCACCACCTTCAGCACACACCCCCTGACCCAGGAGCCAGCCAAGGCAGCATCAGCTGTGGTTCTGGGCTACGCTGACCTAGCTCTGCTGCTGTGTCTAGTGCATGGTTCTCTATATCAGAGTTGCCACAGCAGCTCACAAGGGATCATTGGGAGAGGCAGCAATGAGCTTGGAGCCCTCCTTCCCTCCATACAGAGTGAGGGGGAATGCAAGTGAAAACTCCGCTGAGAGGAGGCTGAGCCAGTAACAGATTTAGTTTCCTCCTCTCTGACCTTCACCACAGGGTTGTGACCTGTGACCTTCACCACAGGGTTGTGACCTCTGACCTTCACCACAGGGTTGTGACCTCTGACTTTCACCACAGGGTTGTGACCTGTGATCTTCACCACAGGGTTGTGACCTGTGACCTTCACCATAGGGTTGTGACCGCTGACTTCACCATAGGGTTGCGACCGCTGACCTTCATCGTAAGGTTGCGGCCTCTCTTACCTAACAAGGTGTAACTTGAAGGCTAGTGAGACTTTGGGTTGAGACCAACTTTCTCAGAAACGATAGGATAGTGTGACAGGAACAAAGAGTGGAAAGTTTTCCTCAGTGAGCCTTTCCAGCTTGGCTCTCAACCCTGCCCCACCCCCACCAGCACCGGCCAGTTCGCCCCTCAGAAGACAGCTTCCAAGGGAACAAAGAGGCCCTTAAGGGTTTCCCTCCCCGGCTGCACTTCAGCCAAATGTCAGGCTCCCTGGGGTGCCACAGGCCGAGCTTGTGGGGACAGGCCTGTCCAGGCCCCCTGGCAGCACAGCAGGCCCGGGCAATACTCACTGCAGAGGAAGCAGGATTTATGGAAGCTGCTGCCCTCGCACTGGACCTCCTCAGCAAAGTAGACGGTCTTCTGGCACACCCCACATTTCTTGCCTCCTCCCCAGTTTGGCATTCTGAAAAAGAATGGAGAAATGAGAATGAGGGTTACATAGACAGAAGAAAACACACTGCCCAGGGCAGGTGGCCCAGGGGATGACCAGCCTGAGAGTGGCTTGTTCTCAAGACCGTTCATTCTCCAGCTGCTGCTGCAAGCATTCGGCAGGGGAGGCCCCTCCTCCTACTTCATCCTATTCGCTGGGCTGCTGCAGCATGTTGGCTCTATGCTTAGCACCCTACACAATAAGATCATAAGATCTTACACCAGGCGGTGGTGGCGCACACCTTTAATCCCAGCACTCGGGAGGCAGAGGCAGGCAGATCTCTGTGAGTTCGAGGCCAGCCTGGTCTGCAGAGCGAGTTCCAGGACAGCCTCCAAAACAATACAGAGAAACCCTGGCTCCAAAAACCAAAAAAGAAAAAGATGCAAGGTTTACAAAGAGCATGCAGGAGCAGCGCGATCGAGCTAACCGGTGGCAGGTGTTACCACAGCGCATCAGAGAATGGCTCCAGAGGGGCAGATCAAGCAGGGCTTGTAAATCTCAAACCAGGGCAAAGGTCACATGTAGGCAAGGGATGAGCATACGGGTCGGAAGGAAAGTACCCCGAGGGGGAGGGCAGAAGGAAAGTACCCTGAGGGAAGGAACATGGAGGTCTAAGTTCTTACAGTGACAGGAGCGGGTGAGGCATGGTCGCCTGGGAGAGTGTTAAAGCTCTAGGCAATGTTCTTCCGCTTGACCCACGGGAGCCTCCTTCCTAAAAGTTATTCCTTGAACCACACACATAGGCATTTTACATTCTCTCGTACACAGGATAGGTGGTGGGGAAAGGGTTAAGTTGGGTACAGTGATCCATGCCTATGATGCCAGCATTTAAAGGCTGAGACCATTGGAGGCCAGACGGAGCCATATAAAGAACTTGTCTCAAAAACAAGCTAGATGTGGTAGAGGAGGCTGTAGCCCCAGCACTCTGGAGTCAGAGGCAGGAGGACTATAAATTCAAGGTCATCTTTGGATACAACGTGGGTTTGAAGCTAGTCTGCGCTGCATGAGACTGCATCTCATAAAAAGAAAAACAAACAAAAGGTTTAAAACAACCCAAGAGATGGGCACACAGGGCGCTGTCCCCTAGCACTACAAAGCCAGACCACCTGCCTGTGCCTGCCGAGTGCTGGAAGTAAGGAAAGGCATTGGCCCAGCCTAGGACTCTGACAGTGACTCCTGCAGACGGTTGGGCCGATGTGGAAGATGTTCTAGGTGTTGGTTCTGAGCTGTAGTCCTGATGCCAGACTTTTCGGTCCCGGTTTGATCCTGCCACTCACTCGCTGTGTGACCCTGGGCAAGGGACTTGGACTTCACAGACCTTGACTTCTGCATCTTGGAAGTGGGGCTGAAAATAAAAGTTCTTAATAGGCTATTTCTGGGGATTGGAGGAAGTATGGGGTGTCAAACACCCAGCACACACTCAGTGCTTCATAATTAGTAAAACACAAGCCAGAGGCTGTAGGACAGCTGATGTCACGTGCCAGTGGCACAGGGGGTGCGTGTCGCGGGGATGCAGAGGCATAGATGTCCTTCAGCTGATGTGTCATTGGGTCCCCACACCCTGAATAGTGCCTGACACACAGCACACACATGGTGTCCAATGTGCAGCTGAGGAATGGGTGAACTCAAGGCCCCGATGAGTCCAGGTCCTGTTCCGTTGTATCTCTGAAGCACCCGGGACCTAGAAGTGGTATCCAGTAAACATGTGCAGACTGAGAAGCCAACCTAAGTAGGGATAGTGCTGGTGATGCTGACTCCCTGGTTACGGAGACCAACCACATCCAAAGGAGCGAAGTGTGTGGGAGCAGAAGAGAGAGGTGCATTTTCACCTGAAAGTTGGGGTTCCGTCTGGTCCCAGTCTCCTGCATTCTTACCTGCCTATGGTCACCTCCTTGCAGAGGCTCCCACATATCTGTGGCCCTGCCTTTCTCCCTAGTCTAGCCCCACCTAATTTCAGATTAGTTTCTCTAGGCCCACCCGCAGGTGCCTCCATTTGCGAATGAGCCATCCGAACTCACAGCCTGCTATCAACCGTCCTGATTCTCCGTTTTGCTTGTGGTGACATCACCAACCTCTGTGTTTGTAAATGAACAAAGATGGGGCTCTTCACTTGGCCTGTGAGTCCCTCTCCGCTCCCCTCTACTCACTTCTTATCACGGTGCTGTATACCAAGCCCCTTAGATTCCACTGGCCCTACAGCACCTCCCCCTGCTCCTCCCCCGCTCCTCCACCTGCCTGGTTGCCTTCCTTCACCCAGCAGCCCGGGCCACCCCTGGAGGAGTATGTCTGCTACAGTCATTAGTCCCATTTTATTTGTTTGGTTTTGTTTTTCTAGACAGGGTTTTTCTGTGGCTTTGGAGGCTGTCCTGGAACTAGCTCTTGTAGACCAGGCTGGTCTCAAACTCACAGAGATCCGCCTGCCTCTGCTTCCCGAGTGCTGGGACTAAAGGTGTGTACCACCACCACCCGGCTTTTTGTTTTGTTTTGCTTTTTGTTTTATTCTTTGTCATTAGTCCCATTTTAAGTCATGACGTGTGACTTGGGCCTAACCTAGTCAGCCAAAGTTATTGTTTAGTTATCTGCAAGATAAGAATTCCTGAGGGCTCTGGAAGAGAAAGTTATCCTGTCTCCTGAGAGTTTCTTGGGAATAGGTGCCCTCCAGTGGAGTCTTGGATGATGTCATTGAATAGCCAGCTTAAGCCAAACCTATAGCTCAATGTGCTCCTGATACTAGTTATACAAATAACCAACTCTGCATTGCTGAAGCCACTTGGCACTCACATGACTGGTGTTCAGACTGGCCCTGACATCCCCTAGCCCATCCCCACCCAGCAGCTCCTAGCTTCTCGCAGGGCAGCACCCCTCACCAGAAACCAAGGGTGCCCCTGCCACCAGAAGTCAGAACTGCTCCTGGCCTTGGCAGATCTCAGCCTGCCCCGGCTGGTTCCTCTCACCTCACAGACCGGAAGCTGTCAATTTAGCTCTTGTTCAACCCTCTGAGCGCCAGCTCAACCTACCATGAAGAAAGCTTCAGGCCACGCCTTTGTGAAGAGCTGGGAGGATTTTGGTGAAGCTGAGGGCAGAGGCTGGGTGTACTGTCCTCGCAGAGACTATCTGGGGAGACTGTCTCCTCTGCACACATCTACCTTCCTTCATCTGGGTTCAGGACTACCTTGGCTCCACAGGCTCACGCATGCATCTTGAGGCAGCTTTCTCTACCTGCCGGTGACCTCTCTGCTTCCTCAGATAACCTTGGGGCCACTCCCCATCTCAACCTCTCATGACCCCTTCAACCCCTGTCTGTCCTGAGGACTCCAGGGCTTAACTGCACTAGCTGAACGAGGACTCAGAACGGCAAACCCAAGTAAGAGAAGGGTAATTCAGCAAGAACAGTACATACATCACTGTCTAATTGCCAGCCATCTCCCCTCCTTCCTTTCTCTGGGAACCCAAGTTCTGCTCAGGCAGCTATCCTCTAAGAAATGAAGAATAGATGCCCAGGTTGCAGATAAGGAAAGCCAGGTTCAGAGAGGTTGAGCAACCTGTTTATAGCACCACAGCTATAGGAGGCAGAACTGGATTCTAAGGAAGGTCCACATATTTCTGTCCAGGGACCCCAGTCATCAAGCTGTGGGCAGAGCCTGTTTAAGGTGGCTGCGTAGGGTGGGCATGCGGTTCATCAAGACAGGGTCTCCTCTTTGACCTTCCTGTGCAACCCCCTAAAGCAACAGGAGACACACTTGTGTCCCTAGGGACACCCCTAAGGGAGGAACAAACAGTCCCTTAGCCACGCGGTAGGAAGCTGTTCCAAGCAGTGTTTTGTTCAGCCATAAAGTCTTTCCCCCACTGGGGAAGACCCACAGCTCTGAACAGGCGTCCCCTTGTTCTCCTTGGCCCTGTGTCAGGGGCTTTATCCAGCAGGGCTCCAGGGAATCAGGAACATGGGGGGAGGGGTGAAAGCCGAGGACCCATCAGAACAGGAGGCCGGCTCAGGATGTCCCTTGGCTGGGTCATTCCTTGAGCTGGGAATCCCGTTGGGACCCCAGGCTTCAAGAGGGAGAGCAGAAACAATGCCACAGCCAGAAAGCATGCTCTACCCTCTCTGCCCAAATGATGAGCACTCAGGGGATCCTGAGTATGGGGAAGAGTCCCAGCTGGAGGGATCTGTTGGCTGCTACCTCCTTCCAGTGTGAGGTGTTGCAGGCGCCACACTCCACCTCCTCCTTTCTGCCCAGCCCCTCTTGTCAAAGCCAAATTCCGACTGGACTGCCGGGAAGCTGGATTGCCTTAAAAGGAAGGCTGTTTCTTAGTCTGCTCAGGGTTTACTAGTCTGCAGAGGGATGTGAGGTTTATTCTCAATTGCCTTCCCAATTCTGGGGGACAGAAGGCCTATGGGAGGCTGTGCCCCGTGCTAAGGAAATTGGAGCTGGGGTTAAAAAGTTCAGTGTACCTCCTCCTAGCTGAGTGGACACTTCTAGCTCTCAATGTCATTCCTTTAACCCTAAAATAACACTCCCCATATTATGATGATAAAATAAGAACATAAAAAAGGGATAGCATACTATAGAGATTATGCCTCTGGTTACTACCTACCCTTAGCCCAGATGTGGAGTCAGATGACTTACCTCCCTTCCTCCCTCCCTTCTCTGCTGATACATATCTGAAAGAAACAAGACTTGAAAATCAACACTCCAAGTAGGGAACGGAAACTCCTGACCTGTCTAGCTAATGAGTCTGTGATTATTTTAGTTTAGTTCCCCAGTTCCCTCTGCTACCTACCTACGATTTCCAGCAGGGAAGGTAGGAACCTGTGCCTTACATAAAGCTTTCTGGTATGTGGCTCTAGGCAGACAAATCATTGCTGCTGGGCAAAGTAGCACTTGGGTATAAATCAGCACTTGGGAAGCAGAGGCAGGAGGATTGCTTTTGAGAAGGCCTGCGTGGCCTACCTACCAAGCTCTAGGACATCTTAAGGCTTCACAACAAGACTATTTAAAACAGCAATGACTGGCTACAGTCTTCTATAATCACATTATCCTCACTGAGTTCATTCAGAAAGTCCCATTCCCTTTGGGACTTGCTGTCTCTGTTCCATTTGTCCTACTTAGCTGTCTTGATAATCTCACCTGAGAATAAAATCTGAATTTTCTGTGGTTGGGCATCCCCCATCAGCTGTTTACTTGAGATATTAAGATCCCCAGGGCTAGCTAGAGGTTGGAAGGCAGTGATGGTCCTCTTTAGACACGCTAATTCAAGTCTGCTGCTCTAACTCGTTGTCCCATTCCCAGCTATACAGAGGACCAGTCATAGAGGATGCAAGATGGCGACCCTTATAGCAGTAGAAGGGGTGGGCATGGGGTACATCAACAGAGGTGACAGATTCTGCTGGTCACCTTCCAGGTCAAATGTATCATCTGGGTTCTAAGCCTGCCAGCCACCTATGCTCACAGGAGGGACTCTCTCATCAAACACTTGACAAGCTACCTCACATCTTTCTCCAGTGGAAAAACCCCATCGCTCCTGCACCATAATCCCTTATGCCCTCCAGCAAAAGAGGGACTGTGACAGGCTCAGGGCACACATCCCCACCTTCTTGGTCCGGTAGAGACCTGTTAGGTGTTTGCTTGAGTAGAAATGAGCTGCTAGAAGTTACTTGAGCTCTTTGGAACCTGCCAGGTAGACAAGAGTGCTGTCATCTTTTCCAACCCTGCAGCTGTCTCTTCCACGCCCCCAAGCCCAGAGAACAGCCAGGGACAGAACCAGAGGGAAGGAGGGGCAAGCCCGGAGCCCATGGCGCTGGCATCTTCAAGGTGACACCTGAGAGCCCAAGGAGCAGACCTTCTCAGAAGACAAAGGTCCCTGGTACAAAGGAGGTACCCAACAATGAGCTCAATCTCAGCATTACAGGTCCCCCAGAAGTGACTTCATTAGACTTTTGCATATGGCTTATTTCTGAGAAGTCAGTCCTCACTGAAGTTGTCATTACCCTAGGTCCCATGCTCCCCAGGATGTGTCTATAACTGAGTGCTCCTGCTCACCCCTCCTCCAAGTTCAGAAATCTGATTGCCATGTGTGCAGATGGAAACAGGGATCCATGACTACTGCTGAGCTACATCCAGACCTAGATTTCCTAAAGTATTTCAAAACGAGCACAGGAAACCTTATAATTATGGTATGATCAAATCGAATTTGCTTTTGTCTGGGATGTCGAGAGCGGAGCCAGTTGTTTGTGCCATGTGTTGAATACAAAGGTCTGACTGCTTTTAATTAATTTTTAAAAGGGGGAAACAAAACACATCTCAAGAAGATCCATCCCACACACTCGAATGCACACACACACACACACACACACACACACACACACACACATAGGAAGAATACCCAGACCCCCTTGGGGTGGGGACCTCCTGTCTCGTCTGCTGGGCTACATTCCAGCTGTGAGCACTCTATTTCTTCCTCAGACTTTGGGAAGCCATGGAAATGCCGCAGAGTCTGGAAATACTAGCTGCCTTGTATTTTACACACTTTACCATACATGGGAATTACTCTACGCTGACGTCAGACAAATTCCTGGGGAGCTGCGTAGTCCAAGCCATGTCATTACCATACAAAACCCTGACAACTGGAAACAGTAGGTGAGGCTCCTGTCAGGGCTCAGGCTACCGCCTCTCATTCCTCAGGCAGCAGCTCTTAAGGGGTGGGGGTGGGGGGCTCTGACTGCCTCTTTTCCAGGACTTTTTAGAAATTTCTCCTGAAAACATGAATCCAAAACACAGACATATAACAAGTGTGATGAAAGTACATCTGGGAAGTGACTTGTGGGGCTCCCTGTACCTCAGCACCCAACAGTGTGAAAACCTAGAGATCAGGCGGTCTAACCACCAGCCCTTCCATGCTGCTGCCAGTGAAGCCCTGCCCGCCTTTAAATGACTGCCACCACAGAGCAGCTTGAAACACTGATGTCTCCAGGAGAGACCCCATTTCCTTAGGAGACCTAGAATGAGGAAAGTGAAGGATCAAGGACAACCAGCGGGCTTTCGGGGCAGCGGGCCTGTGTTTGAGCAGCAGCTCCTTGGGGACCAGCTGTAACTTGAGGCAGACCCTATCACCCACCGCTGAGTCTTTTCATCTGCAGAAGTAGCCAGCACCAGCTCCCTCCTCATAAGCAACAGCCAAGACAACACAGGCGAAGGGTTTAGCTTTGGCCGGCAAGCAGCAGGCACAGACACTTGCTTAGTGTACTCTTCAGGAAAGACCTGCACAATCAGTTTGGTGCCTCTAAGTATTTGCCAATATGCCTGTGTGCGCCAAAGAGCTGAATAGGGGAGGGGGACTTTGTGTCACTAGCATCTCTTGGGACTTAATGCATGCCTCCTTCAGGCTTCTAACAAGCCGGCTTTGCCCAATGAGCCCTGCTTGCTTAAATAAACTTTAGGAGCCCACCAGAAAGCATTTCCACCTAGCTTGCTTTCTCCACTAGGAAATCCACCATCAATAAAAACTTGTGAACACTATGGTCATGGAAAAACTAGTTGGTAATTATTCATGACAACACATATTCCATGTATTCACTTAGTATTTGATTGTTGACTGACTTTATTTTTTTGAGATAGAGCTCCAATATGTAGCCCAGGCTTGCCCCTAACTTGTGATCCTCCTACCGTCATCTCCCAAGTGCTAGGTTTGCAGATGTGTGCCACCGTAGCCAGATCCAGTCACCCAGTATTGACTTACCATCAGTCAAGTGCAAACATTGCTCTCTCTCAGTCTGTAACTGACCAGTGAGGACTGACCGGCCCTAGAGCCTAACTGTGAATTACAAAACAGAACACCTGGGCCAAGATGGCTGGCGCTAGGACAGACCAGAGGCAGACCTTCCTCACTTTCTTAGCAAGCTAGTCACAGAGCTTGAGACCCTGCCCTTCAGATTCTCTCCAGCATCCTCTGTAAGCTCTCAGCATCTGAGCTTTGGGGACAGTAGTCCCCTCCACCTCCTCAGGCACACCATATCTCACCACACCACACCCTCTGCAGGATAAACTTCCTTCCCTGTCTGGCTGTCCCTCCCCGGATATCCTTGCCAAGGCAAAGGGTCCCTGCGCAGTAGCGCCAAGCTGGATTCTCCAAGGGAGCCATAAACATTGGCTAGGGAGTGCTTAGGCCAGTCTCTCCCCAATAGAGTGGCCTGGGCTCCTAAGTAGAGGGCTGGGGGAGAGAATCAGAGGCATGAGGAAACTTTAGTGCCCGGTCCTGCAAGAAATTCCCACCCTAGCTCTGAAGTAATGGGCTGCTCGCAACTCCAGAACCCTGAAGCAAGAGGAAAGCAGGGAGCCACAGCTAGTGTGTGTGTGTGTGTGTGTGTGTGTGTGTGTGTGTGTGTGTGTGTGTGTGTGTGTCCGTCCCCACGTGCATAATATATGTTCCAAGTACTGGCCCAGAAGGGAAATGAGCTGTCTCTTGTCCAAGGTTATCTGTGTATTGTCAAATACAAGTCAAAACTCAGTCTGCTTGCCTGTCACATACCCTGTCACCAAGATTCCAGCGTATTTCTCATGTTCCACCAAAGGTAAGAGGACGCCCTGCATGCACCATGATGGTATCCCGGGGCAGCGCCCTCTCAGAGTGGGGAGGGGCTACCCATTCAGTCACCCAAGAAACCGGAAGTGGGTGGGTTGGCTCTGACTTCATGCAATTGCTTACAGTCTGGACCTCTACCTTGAAGGATCACATCGGTACAGGACCAGAAGCATGCAGAATATACCCAGGCCTGTGGCACTGGATGAAAACACCTGCCGGATAACAACTTGTTAGGTGGCACTGCCAACTTGCTTAAATGTGCTCACTCTCTGGAGCCCTCTCTGCTCCCCAGCTTTGAAGAAACATTCACTCTTGGTTCCTTGAGATCTCAGTATCCAGTCCTCACCTAGCACCAAGACTTGAGCAGGGAGGTGCATGAGTCTGCTTCCATCTGTTTCTTTCGGGAGGGGGAAAAGAAAACCCATAACTGTACCCTATGGCCACCAAGCCAGATGCTGCTCTTCCCCGCTAGCGGGCACTTTCTCCCAGGAAAAGAGAGTGAGGGAAGGGGTGGCACGGATGTCCTCATCCCTCAGCCTTACAATGACTGTCAGTGGCCCACAGAATCACCGTTTGTTCTGCGGGACCTGCAGGCGGTGGGGGGAGCCGGGTTACCCTGGGTCTAAGGCACGTGAAAGACAGCTGCCCTGGAAGTTCCGGAATGGGAATAGACCCAGGGTTTTCTGGAAAGGGAAGCACTGACAGGCTAACTAAGGCCATATCTCACCACCTTCCTTCTGAAGTCACTTTTCCTACAAACTTTTCTAGCAAGCGACAGGGCTGCGGCAAGCTATGAAAGACCATTAGGCGCAGGGTGCGTCCCAGGCACTCGGCTGGCGGGCAGCTGCGGGGACCGAGGCGGGCGATGCGGGGGCGCACTCACCTGGCAGCTGCTGGAGGTACACGGGTGACAGCACTCCGGGAAGCGGTGACTGGCTGCGCCCGGCTGCGCGCCGTTTTGTTTCCCTACTCCGGAAGGCGTTTCCCGCGCCACGCCAACCAGTAGGCTTTGCACACTGCACCACAACAGGGCTGATGTCACAGCGCAAAACCCGGGGAAGCTGTCCCCTCCCCCAGAGCCCGGAGCCCGGGCGTGGCCCGAGCCCTAGCTGCCGGCTTCTCTGTGCACCCTGCGGCGGTCTGGGAGGGGGGCTGTCTTACTTAGGGGCGGGGAGCGGAGTTTAGGGGTTCCTGATCTGCCACGTGGAAAAGTGGAGAGGTACCCTGAGAGATCAAACCAGAGATAAACTTGGGTCCCCTAGGGAAGACAGCAAGGGTCCTTAAATCTTCATGTCCTGATGGCTCGCCAGAGTAAGACAAGCAAGTGTGGTTCTGCTTCTTCCAGTGATTGACTTTCTGCTAGACAGCTGGCTTGAGGTTCATCTGTAAACGGAGAATGTGGCACCGAGTGGTGGGGATAAGAGCAGGGGCTTTTTGCTGCGCCTCCCACCTCTAGCTCCGGGCTCCTGTTCTCTGGCTTTCCCCATCTCTCCTAAGCACAAGAGATCATTCTACCAGCCCCAGGAGCATCAGCTGCTGAGTGGACCTTTCTCTGGGCTCCTAGCTTAGAGTAGTGTGACAGACACAGGGTCAGGCCACCGGAAGCTGCCTCTGGGGTGGTGACCAATAGGTGTTACCGGTCCAACAGAGTGCCTGCCCGGAAACCTAACGCTGGAGGTGGGCTGCTGCTCTTGGACCCAGTGGCCGGCAGGAAGCAGAGCAAGTCTTTTTTTTTTTTTTTTTTTTTTTTTTTTGGTTTTTCGAGACAGGGTTTCTCTATGGCTTGGAGGCTGTCCTGGAACTAGCTCTTGTAGACCAGGCTGGTCTCGAACTCACAGAGATCCTCCTGCCTCTGCCTTCTGAGTGCTGGGATTAAAGGCATGCGCCACCACCGCCCCGCCAGAGCAAGTCTTAAAGGAAGGTCTGTTTTCCTTAGTGGTACAGACAGCTCCAAGCAAGAAACATACTTTCCTTGGGACTAACTACATATAGGATCTGCAAGAAAAACTGTGTCCCCGGTAACAGAAGAAAGTGGGAAACTGTTACGTTTCGTAGGATAATTATTATTATTATTTGTTGTGTTTTGCAAATTGTTTTGTTTTGAGATAGAGTCTCACTGTATAACCCTGGCTGGCCTGGAATTCACTATGTAGACGGGGGTGGCCTTGAACTCACAGAGATTCCCCTGCCTCTGCTTCCCAAGTGCTAGGATCAAAGTACCAGTTGTTGTTTCTAATACAAAGGGACTTGGGGACTGGGCTTGTAGGTAAATTACATTATTCTTATCAAGTGCAGACTGTGTTGGGAAATACGCCATACTCAGATTTCAGTGTGACTTCACGTGCTGTGTGCCTACGCCTGTTTGGACCTTTCTGCTGCCTCCAGCCATCTACAGTAGTCTCAGAGGAAATTCCTATGGTGTTAATTGGGGACAGTCAGGTTTGTTAGCAGCCGCCCTCTGCCATCCCATCTCATGTTAGGTACGACTTGCTGTATCTTTTACCCTGTATCTCGAGGGCTCAGACCCTCATGGGCCTTATTTAAAGCCCTGGGGCCTGGCTCTGTGGCTTTGTAAACCCAGCTCTCTGGGAAGCTGACACAAGAAGAACACAAGCTCAAGACCTGCCTGGGCTACAGAGTTGTTGGAAGGCCAGCCTGAGTGACTTCACGTGGCCTTGTCTCAAAATAAAAAGCAGGGCCAGTGAGATGGCTCAGTTAGTAAAAAGGCTTGCGGCCTGAGTTTGATGCCCCAAACCCACAGTAGAAGGAAAGAACTAACCCCCAAAAGTTGTCCTCAGACCTCCACCCACACCCCATAACTCCTGAAGGCCTACCTACTCCCCAGCCCCAAACACCACACACACACACACACACACACACACACACAGAGAGTCATAATAAGAGAAGTAATAATCGTAAGATTATAATTCAAAGTAAAAAGCGGGCTGTGGAGAGAGCACATGTGCAGTATGTACAAGCAAGGTCAGGGTTCATTCCCCAGTGTTACAAATAAGTCTCACCTGAAGAACCTCCTCCATCAGATGGGCCTGTGAGCGTATCCGTGGAGAGTTTTCTTGATTGCTAGCTATAGACTGATTAGGAAGGCATGGCCCACTGAGGGCAGTCAGGCTGTATTAAAAAGATAGCTGAGCCAGGTGTGTTGGCTACAAGTGTGGTGGCGCGCACCTTCAGTCCTAGCACTTGGGAGGTAGAGGCAGGCAGATCTCTGAGTCTGAAATCAGCTTGGTCTATAAGAAAGTTCCAAGGTAGCCAGGGCTACACAGAGAAACCCTGTCTTGAAAAACCAAAATCAATCAATCAGTCAATAAGTGAATACATAAATAACTATAATAATAATAGAGCTAGCTGAGCATGAGCCCAAAATGGAGCCAGTGGGCAGCATTTTTGTGTGGTTTTTGCTTGAGTTCCTGCCCAGACTTCCCTCCGTGATAGAATGTTCCCTGGAAGTGTAAGCTAAATAAACCCTTTCCTCCTCAAGATCATGGTGTTTATCATAGCAACAACAACAACAATAAAAACCCAGACTAGGACGATTTCCAAAACTGTCTGTTTCTTGCAGAAAATATCGTCATCCCTATCCGACATAGTCGAGACTGAGAGGAGAAACCAAGGGACTTCTTGGTTTTCTTATACTGGACAGGTGTATTAAACTGAAAAACTACAGTCAGTGTTAGACACCATGGGCTCACTGCCCAGAGATGTCACACCTACGACTGGGGTTCTCCTGAAGCATCAGCACTCAGTATCCGGGAGAGAGGAGCCTTGGACTTTTGCCCAAGACTACAAAAGAGCAAAGGCTTGCATTTCCTTCTTTGGTCTGGGTTTGTCCTCTGTGGCTCTTTTGACAGATCTCCCTGTGGGGGAATACCAATCTGTTCTCTGAAATGCTTTTAGGATGAGCCAGGGAAAGGAAAACAGAAGCTGCCATGGTACTTGTGTTTCTCAGCATCTGAAAGCACTGTGTCAAAGGAACGGTGTTCGGTGTGTCACCCAAACTCACACAGGCGTGGGCACCTGCTCATTACACAAAGGCTGTGTCATCTTACACAACTTAGGAACTCAGGCAGAGTTGGTGGAAGTACGGAAAAACAAACAGGCCCATCCTTCTCTCGTGTTTTCCTCAGAAACTCACACATTTGGTTAAACTGACCTCCTTGCATACTGCCAACCACGTGGGCTTGGTCTTTGGGAGCTCATAAGCGATAAAGAATGCCTTGAGAGTGAGTTGAGTCAGAGATAATGATGGCTTACAAGTCCTGTAAATGAGTGAGAGCTTCATGATGAAAGCAGACAGTCCAGAAAGCACTGCCCATACTTGGGCTGGTACCTGTGCCTAAATTCCCTTAGGGCAGAGGTACCGTTCCTATATAACTGGGCCCAGACCAGTTCTAACCAGGTAACAGTAGCTACCTCTACAAATGCCATGGTCAGAGATGATAGCTGGGATGGTCTCAGCCGGGGGCTTCAAAGGAGGCCTGCCACACACAGGTGAGGGCAGGGAGATGATGAACTCAGTTTCAGTGGACTTAAGTGCCTGGGGTTGTCTAGTGGGCAGTTGCACACAGAGCCAACGAGGGGCGGGGTTGGAGATAGAGATTTGGGACTGCCAGTCTAGAGAGAGTTTGGGAAGATGAACAAGTCCAGAACTCCAAGGTACACTGCTGATTGAGAGTGGCTGAGAGCCCCCAAAGAAAACCGAGGAGGAAGGAAAGACTGAAGGCTAACACACATGTCATGGAGGTCAAGGGAAGGTTTCAGGGAGGAGGCAACAGTGACATGCACCAAGTCCTTGTCTTCGGGGTGTGTTAAAGGAGCCCCGTGAAGCATGGGGACACCAGGGGAAGAAAACCAGTGGCAGGATCAAGAACAGTAATGTCAACTGGGCATTGGTAGCGCATGCCTTTAATCCCAGCACTCGGGATGCAGAGGCAGGCGGATCTCTGTGAGTTCCAGGACAACCTCCAAAACAATACAGAGAAACCCTGTCTCGAAAAACCAAAAAAAAAAAAAAAAAAAAAGAAAGAAAGAAAGAAAAAAGAAAAGAAAAAAAGAACAGTAATGTCTGCTCTGGCATGGTGGTACATGTCTTTAATTTCAGCAGTCAGGAGGCAGGGGCAGGCAGGTAGGTCTCTGAGTTCAAGGCCAGCCTGGTCTACACAGCTAGTTCCCCAAAGGGTTAAGATCATCTTAAACATTCCTTAAAGAAGTGTATTCATCACTTCACCACTGAGCGTCTGAGGATTTCTTCACCGTTCCCAGACACCCCCAAACATGCGACTCATCCAGTTTGAGGATCCTGTAGTGTTGACGACACAAATCTGGGGCATGATGGTTCTGGAGGCAAAGCCCTACTGCTCCATTTGGACTGTATCCCACCAGGCATGCATGCATTATTTTTCATGCTTCTTGAGGGACAACAGAGTCATTTAGAGCTGAACTGGACCCCAAAGAAAGCTCCCGAGAACACTCGGAGCACTGTGCTTTTAAAGATCTACTTTTAGGGCTGGGAATGTAGGTCCATTGGTAGAGTGCCTGCTTAATACACCGGAAGCCCTGAGTTCAATCCCTGGCGTTGCATAAAACCAGACATGCTAGCGCGTGTCTATGATCTGAGCATTCAGGAGTTGGAAGCAGGAATGGTGTCTTTCTGAGGCAACTTAAAGGGACAGGAGGCAGGAAAGAGACCAGTGAGACCTCGCCAGTATGAAAGACCTTACAAGTATGACCTCATCAGTATGATCTTAGCAGTGTGACCTCAGCAGATGAGGCTGTTTATTTCAAACAGAGAGGACAACCACAGTGGGGAAGGGGGAGGGGCTACCTGAAATTTATACAGGGTGTTTGGAGAATGGAAAGTTAGCACAGCTTCAGAGACCTATGTATCAGTCCCTAGGTTCTCCCTCCCGGGGCTGTTTGTCCAGACAAGGCTGTTTTATCTTTAGAAAGTGCCTTGCTCTGGACACTAAGATGCGGGTGACAGTGGGTGAATGAGTTTGGCAATGAGCAGGGACGGGGAAA